TAGAGCTGGAGTTGCAGACTTGCAGCCAAAATGAAATCCAAGATTTTTGGAAAATTAGATCAAAATCACATGCACGAATCACCAAACATCAAATAACTAAAAGAATAAAAGAATCTTGCATTTTTTTGAAGCAGAGTGCGACTGTGTGTGCGGGTTGCCTGCTGGACTGGACTCGATGGCGGACCTGGCGCCGATGCCGTCTGCTGGCTGCTGCGGCCTGCGGTAGTGGTGGACTGGTCGTTGACGGCTAAGACGGGGAGAGCCCTAGATTGGTAATGGTGGGTGGTGGCAATTTGGGGAAAAATCTGGGACTCTGGTCACTCTACGTCTCTGCTTTGAGTTGCTGCCTGCTGGGTATATGGTATGGAGTGGAGCAGGTCATTTGGGCTTCTTCAATTGGGCCAAATTTAAAAAGAAAAATTGAAGCCCAACAGCCAACACCCAAGCCAACACTCACGATACTGAAGGAAAAAAAACTGACTCCCGCGGCCGTCGTGGCGGTTCCCGTGAAGCCAGCTAGGGCGGCCGCCCTAGCTAGCCTTAAGCTACATCCGCCCGCCCTAGCTGGCCTTAAGTTACATCCGCCACTGACCACCCTAACACAATAAAAATTCAGATCCAAATTTATCAGTCACTACTACGACTACCATGACCAAAGATCTAGACCTAATTTTTCCATATTTCATATCATTCATCGGCAACGCGATGTCCGCCACTCAGATCCAATGCATAGAGGTCATTTTTTACATTCAGAGACACAACGCTATTGCATGCGATTGCGGTGCCGCTTCAAGTCTTGATGCAATGGCCATAAGCTGCTCCGTGTGTTTGGTGGAAGGAGAGCAGCGATTAGGAGATGGATGAGAGAGGAAGAGAGCAGAGGAGAGGTATAGGCTGCATCTCATGACAGTGGTGCAAGGTTGCATGACAGTGGTGCAAGGTTGCATCGCCGGTAAAGAGGAAAGAGAGGAGCCGTCATAGATTGTGTGAGAGAGAAAGAGATGGGTACTGAGAAATGTAGTGAGAGAAATGAGAGAGAGAGAGAGAGAATTATGGAAATGAAGGGTTTTGATAGATGGGTGGATGTGGTGTGTTTTGATACCCGATTTGTGAATGATGAAACTTCATCTCTAATTTTTGAATTATAATATTTAAATACCTGAAGTTATATAATTATCTCTTATCAAAGCTTAACCAGATAATAAAAAATGGTTGCATCAAGCCCAACTCTAGATGGGCCAGCAAAAAGACTTCAATTTTAAAAAGTTAAGTTAAAATAGTATTTGAATATTTTATAATTGTATGAATGCGTTAAACACCGGACAAATAGTACTATTATTTAATTTTCACACATTAATATTAAAATCTATTTCGCACAATATTAAATAATATTACACTAAATAAAATGTTAAGCATTAAGAGAAAATGGAGAATAATATAAGGGTCCGTTTGATAGCATTAAATTCCATGAAAAATATCACTTTCGAGGAATTTGTTTTCTACTTTTGCTGTTTGATACGAAAGTAAAAATTGAGTTCGAATTTCAATGTACAAACACTTAAAATATGTTTTTGGCCAATTAAGTGGAAATCGAATTCTTATGATTTAGGTGATTTTTTCTTTTCTAACTTATATGGAATTGAGTTGTCTTTTTCACCTTTACAATCAAATGGACCTTAAGAGAATTGAGAAAGAATTAAAACTTAGTTTTGATTTTCTTTAAGGGTCATAATAGTTATTTTAAAGAAAAGTTGCTTTTTGTCGAAGTGATAATATCTCACGTTTGACAATCATTATTTGGAAAAAAAAAATATTTTGGGCAGTGATTGTTAAAAAATGTGTAGTTAAAAGTAGGAAAAAAATTTGAATTTACGTATAATATATTTTATTACATGAACTTTTGATTAAAAATGTATAGTTAAAAGTAGAGAAAAATTTTAAATTTACGTGCAATATATTTTATTATATAAATGCATGATTAAAAATGAACATATAAAAAAAAGTCAAATAATAGTCGTTGTCAAACAAGGCTTAATGTCACAAAAAAATTTAAATGGTTGAGTGTCAAAACTTCAATTTTAAAAGAGTATTTGGCACATAACGTTCTTACATTTCATTTTTTAGTATTTTCACATTTCGTTTACATAAAAGATTATTTTCATTTATTTTCTTAACTAAAAATTATGAAATGACGAATATACACTTCTATTTAAATAAAACAAAAAGAAAAAGAAAGAATTAATTGCAAGCATAGTCCCAAAATTTATAAAAAAATGCAAACGAGTCTCATATAAATTAGTAAAATGGTAATTAGTACATAATATCACTACCTTTCACTATTATTATGAAAAATGTCCACGACTTTCATTTTTTTGACATTTTCATCCTTAATTACACATTTGATTGCGCAAACTACCATTTATATCAATTTTCATCGAGCTTCTTAATAAAAAGTTACAATGACAAATATACTCTCGATCTTAAAAAAAAATGAAAAAGAAGAAAATTTAATAACTAACCGCAACCATAGTCCCAAAATTTTTTTAAAAAGTATAAACGAATCCTAAATAAATTATTATATATTAGGAATCATTTTTTTTAAATAGTGCAAATGAGTTCCAAATAAATTATTAAAAATTAATTTTTATTTTTTTTTATTTTTGTTTAAATAAGAATGTATATTCGTTATTTCAAAACTTTTATTAGGAAATTGTTGAAAATTGATAGGAATGATGTTTGCAAATAAATGTGTAATTAATGGTGAAATGCCAAAAAATAAAAGATAATAACGTTTTCACAATAATAGTAAAAGGTGGAATATTATCATTATGTGCTAATTACCCTTTTAATAATTTATCTAGGACTAGTTTGCACTTTTTTAAAAAAAAAATTGAGATTATAATTACAATTAGTTCTTTATTTTTCCTTTTGTTTTGTTTAAAACTTTAAATAGAATGGTATATTCTTCATTTCACAGCTTTCAATTAGGAAATAAACGAAAAGGACCTCTGCGCATTAAAAGGTGAAAATGAGGGTAAAAATATCCAAAAAATAAAAGATAAGGACATATTTCACAATAATAGTGAAATAAAAGAACGTTACGGCTAATTACATATTTTAAAAAGTTGAAAGTTGATACCACACTTCATGCAAGGTTCTAAATTTCCCTCTATTTTAGGCATAACCGTAGAGTCGAGAATCATAGAGTAGTAGTACATAGGTGTTCCGTCCTTTTCCAGAATCTCAAGAACCAGCTAACCAACAATTTCTTGCTGCGATCTGACTTGAGTATACTGTACTACTAAACTCACCAGACCATACCAAGAACGCACATATACTGTTCATATGCATAAATCATAAGTACCCTTTTTTTAAGGGAATTTCTGAAATCATCGGATTCTCTTACGATTTTCTTTTTCTCAGCACTTTTGTTCTCTTTCTTCCGCTCCCATGTCACTATTGCTCCTACCCCTTTTCAGATTAAACGGAATAGAATATTTATTTTTCTCTGTAAAATGAGCAACGTTTTGTACTATAATGTCTATGTTCCTTAATCTACCTCCCAACTCCGAAGCTGAAAGATCGGGCTTCGTCCACGGATCGTCAAGACCCTGCAATTTTTTTCATGGATCATTTTTCCTTCAATTTTCTTACCAATTCTGTTCCAAAAAGTCGCACTTTTGCTTAACTAGTCTTAATCACTTTTCTTTTTGAATTTCTCTTTCTTGCATTGAGCTGGTTCTTTCTTTGATGATTTCTTTTTTGGCAGTAGTTCACTCTTTTTCTTGAATTTGGAACCACCATTTATTATTTTGTATTCATTTTGTATTTTTTTACAATTTGAGTTTTAATTTTATATAATTAGATTATTACTGACCATCCTTGATTTTTTTTTATTTTTTTTTTTGTTTTTGTTTTGTTTTGTTTTGTTTTTTTTGGTTGAGTGGGTGGGTAGACGGGTGAGATGGGGAGATTTCATATGTTGCTATCAAGAGAAAGAGATTGAATCTTTGTGCTGTCTTGTTTCTTTTGGCTTTCTGGAAAAAGTGTATTGAAATCTGAACTATTTATATTTTTATCGTTGGTCATTGGACTTATTTTTCTTCTCTCCTTGATGTAGTATGTGTAGATAATCTTGATATGATTTTTGCATCTGCAAATGGGCTACTTTTGTTTTCTTGCTTCTTGGTGGAAATCATATAGTTAGGTGGTAAGACGAAAGTGCATGAATGGAGAACTATGAGATATTGGGGCAGATTGGTAAAGGGTCTTTTGGTTCTGCGCTACTTGTCAGGCATAAACAAGAAAAGAAGAAGTAAGGAAACTTTCAATTTTGCAATGTTCTTTATGTCTTTTACTTCATGGCATTGCTTAAGTTATTGGGCCGTGGTAAATGATGGGGTAATTTTAAGGAACTTTATGTACATATTCTTTATTACTGATTTGTGATTTCCTTTTCACTCTTAGGTATGTCATGAAGAAAATCCGTCTTGCTAGACAGACTGATAGAACTCGCAGATCTGCACATCAGGAGGTGAGTACTCAATTTGTCCTCTTTTTAATGAATCAAATGAGCGGGTTGATATGCCCTTTAAATTATAACGAGGCATTATATAATTTTTTGATTGGTGAATTTTTTAAGTAGAACTATATGAGGGATAAAATCCCATATCGAAAAAAGATGGAAACATAGACCAACTTATAAGGATTTGTGCTACTCCTCATAATAATGTTGACCTTTTAAGATGGAACCCCAAGTCTTAACATTGTATCAGAGCCCATTGAGTTTTAACGAGCGATTCAATCCGATTAAAACTCAATAAATGAGCATACGAATTTCAAGATTGATCTGCTCAAATGAGTCATCATCTTGTGGTGGCATGTTAAGGGATGAAATCCCATATTGAATAAAAATGGAAACATAGACCATCTTATAAGGTTTTGTGATACTGTTCTTAATAAGGTTAACCTTTTAAGATGGAATCTCAAGTCTTAACAAACTATGATACTATCATAATTGAAATGATGCACTTGAGCTACGTGCAAGTGAATTGCGAGTTTCAGGTCCACATTTATAGGAAATCATGGTAATTGCTGATTGAGTTACAAAAGTTTTGGAAGATTCTGGTGAAATATGGTGAAACAATTTTCCGTCTCGCCAAATGGTTTCTTATATGAAGTTTATGTACTGGCGTGGATTTAGCTGATAAAAAAAGAATTCTTTGGTGTATAATTCTTCTTTCATCATTGCTCTTTCTCCATATGCAGATGGAGCTTATTTCTAAAGTTCAGAATCCATATATTGTGGAATACAAGGATTGCTGGGTGGAAAAGGTGTGTAAATATAGAGTAAGAACCATTATGACCAGGAATTTGTGTCATTTTATCATCACTTGAGCGTAGAGTACTTTCCTTGTCTTCTAGTCAAGATCATTGGGAGGGATTTGGCCATTATATGTAGCCATATTATCATGTCGAAGCTCTGTGATTTTTCAATATTGGAAACTGATTGTAACTTTTGAAGAATTTGTAAGGTCACTTAGTTTGTTTTATCCTCCTATTGATAAGAATGCTCTTGCTTTCAGGGTTGTTATGTGTGCATCGTGATTGGTTATTGTGAAGGAGGCGATATGTAAGCTTTTTCTTTGGAGAACTTGTTACTTGAAAAAATTAGTCATACCCCACCTCTTTCCCGTAGGATGTCTCTAAAGTGCTTTCCCTGCTGTTAAAATATTTTCTGTATCTTTGGTATATGTTTTAAGTTGTGTGAAGTTTATCCAGTCATTTGTATCTGAGGAATAATTTCTTAAACTGACCAAAGATTCGTAAATGTACTGCTTTTCCTAAATGTTATATTGTTTTAATCTGACCCTTGTGCATAATCATTTCTTTTTACAGGACAGAGACTATTAAAAAAGCAAATGGCGTTCATTTCCCAGAGGAGGTTGTCCAATTAGCTAGTTTTATGCTCTCTTTTCCCGTCTATACTTCTCTCTTTTATATTGAAATTGATTTCCTGATTTCAAATCTGTTACCTTTAACATATGAACATCGACGGTGGAGCAGAGGATTTGCAAATGGTTAGTTCAACTATTGATGGCACTGGATTACTTGCACACTAACCACATACTTCATCGCGATGTCAAGGTCTGTCGCGTTGTTTTCTTTTCTTATCACAATTTGTTGAATAAGATCAGTTTCTATTCATCTGGTATGCTAAAAAGGTGATTTTTCTTATTTTATGCATTTTCTTCAGTGTTCAAATATATTTCTGACAAAAGAACAAGACATACGTCTAGGTAAATGACTTATTTTGTTATGCCTGTATAATTTCTCTAGATTTATGCCGCAAATTACTCTTTCCAAATGTTCAACACATCTTCTCTCTCAATTTGCTTATATTATTATGTTGATTTCAGGTGATTTTGGTTTTGCAAAAATATTGACTTCGGATGATCTTGCTTCCTCTGTAAGTATAATGGCTATAGCACAGCTTAACTTTCACATTTTTTAAGCATATTTAGTTACTTCCTCTGTATATGCTCTGGTTGTAGGTGGTGGGTACTCCGAGTTACATGTGCCCCGAGCTTCTTGCTGATATACCTTATGGCTCCAAATCTGATATCTGGTCTTTGGGTAACTCTCTTGACAATTTGAACTTGTAAATCTAACTGAACTCGATTACTTTCTTTTCCAAATATTAACAAATTCTTGACATGTCTTATCCAGGCTGCTGTATATATGAAATGACTGCTCATAAACCTGCATTTAAAGCCTTTGTAAGTCTAGCTTGGCATCTGTAGGCTTAAGATTAGAGTTTTGTGAAGGGTAACTTGCAGCATTGGTCCTCAACCTATTGCCCGAATAGCAAGTTGGTTCTAACCTCTAAAGTTGAGCAAGTTTGTGCTCAATATTTAATTTTAGTTGCACAATTAGTTCCCGGTTATCGGAAGTGTTCAAATCTCAATTAAATTTTCACATGGCCCTTGTGGAAACAAGCATCACTTCAAATTCATGGCAGCTTTCCAAGTTGAGAAGCAAACTCTAGTTTCATTAAATTGGACATACGAGGATCAGGTGACAATTTACCAGAGATTTTGATAGTTTCCATTGGGGATTGATTGTACAACTATAACGTAAGGTTGAGGGCCAGCTTGCTCCTTTTTAAAGGTTGAAGCTACTTAGACAATAGGTTGGAGACCAATAGTGCATTTTTTTTCTTTTATCAATTAGAAGCCTGTATATATGCATGGTAGTTTATAGGTACAAATATTTTCGTTCTAGCACATGGGATGCATATATTTGTCGCCATTAATGTTTATCTCGTAAACATTTTGAGATCTCTATGACTAGTGGAGAAGACCGATTCTTACCTTACAGTATGCTTTCCTACGGTATAATACATATTTCAAAGGCTTTATTTCCTTGCATACTGAATAATACCAATGTGAAGATGTAAATTCACTACCATTCTGCCTTTTTTAATGGAAACCTAGCAGTTTGAGTCTAATTATAATAAGTCTCATGGATCAGGATATAAGCGATTATTAGTTTTGTCTTGTTTAGTATGTTCTACTGCATGTTGCTGATTTCAAAACTTTGCTTCTTGAGCAGGATATACAAGGTCTGATCAACAAAATAAATAAATCGATTGTGTCTCCACTGCCAACTATGTATTCTGGTGCACTGTGAGTACATAATCTTATTCACACTACCGAAGACTGCTATTAATTGTCATCCATTTCACTTTTGACATATTTGGTAGCGAGAATTGGATAGCACGAATAAAAAGAAGTTAAAATCTTATTCATTATACTGTTCAATACTGCGTACTAAACATGCACTTTGTGTTGTTTCTGGATACAAGTACCCTATTATACTGACCTTTTTTTCACATCTTTTCTCTAGTCGGGGGCTCATCAAGAGAATGCTGAGAAAAAATCCAGAACTTAGACCAAGTGTATGTACATTATCTCTTTCCTGTTCTTGAAATACAACTGTCATTTTTTTGACTCACAAATCTTGATTCTGCGAAGAAGGCTTAAGCTATCTGATTCTCATCGAATAATACAATTTGTGGGCATTGCTATGGTCATCTTACTAATTATATTTTTATTTTTGCTTCCAGGCTGCAGATTTGCTGAAGCATCCTCATCTTCAACCCTACATACTGAATATCCATCTGAAGTCTAATATCCCTAGGCACCATACATTCCCCATTCAACCATCTGATGCCAATTATGTGAAGAAAACAATATTCATCAATCCGGAAGCTGTTCCCGTGCTTACTGACAGAGATAAAATGGAGAAAAAGCGAATATTTGGCAACAATAGGGCCTTGAATCCTAGTATATCAGGGAATGAACTGGATCATCCATGTTCTTCTCCCAGAGCACGAAATTTTTCAAGCCATTTGAATAGAAGTTTCTCAGAATTGTCTGCTGCTAGTGACAATGAATTTACTGGCGTGAAGAATTCGGTGACCACTAAATTATCAAGTGCTGTTAAAATTCCAAGAGCGAATTCAGAAAAGGCTTCTGCCACTCCGAGGAGACAGATAACTCCAACGAAGATATCCAACTGTGGTTCAACTCGTGAATTGGTACGTTATATCAAACTTATTCAATCATTATTATCCTCCCTGGAAAAAGTAAAAGAAACTAGTGCGAGAATACTTCATAAGAGACCAAATAATGTTTATGTTACTTTTGCTTACATATGCAGCTTCCAGTGTCATATACACCAGCTAGAAAATCGTCCCAATCAACACACACTGTTGGTTTCCTTCGGGGTGTGGAGTCCCCAGATGTCTCTGTCAATGCTCCTCAAATCGACAAAATGGTCGAGTTTCCTTTGGCTTCATCTGAAGATATTTTATTCCCCATCTGCCGAGCTTCATCAACATCTGCTCGGTGCTCTTCTACCTCACCATATAGCTGTGATCCTTCAATCACAAAAGACAAATGTATGGTCCAGATAATTAATAGAGCTTTTGTCGGGCCACACACTGCTGGGACTGGTGCTGCTTATGGGGTTCCACAAAATGGAAGCGAATGTTCGGAGCACATCCCAGCAAGCGGAGGTTCTACTCATTCTTCTTCAGATTCTCAGCAGCGCAGGTTTGACACCTCATCATTCAGGCAGCGTGCCAATGCCTTAGAAGGATTGCTTGAGTTCAGTGCGCAACTCTTGCAGCAAGAACGCTTTGACGAACTTACAGTGCTGCTGAAGCCATTTGGACCTGAAAAGGTTTCTCCTAGAGAAACCGCTATTTGGCTGACAAAGAGTTTCAAAGAGAATGTTGCGTGATAACAAGAAGGCACCATCTGTAATTCTCTTGATTTTATCAATTATCTCAGATTTAAGTGGACGAAATATTACTGATATTCAGGAGGAGACGACTGCATGCTGGTTGATTTGTATATCTTCCCATCGACTGGAAACATATACGATTACGAATAGGTTTTTTATGAAAAGTAGAACAAGAACATCGTTTTGCTGTTAATGAAACCTTCTGGCAACCCGAAGAAAAATCTGATGATAGATGTATTAAATCTCTGATAATAAGGTATAGTTTTCATTGAGAGAGTACCATTGCTTGCTTTGAAAGGTCTTTGTTTACATGTATCCTATCTCGACTTTCTTGATCCAAGTGACAGTGGTTCAGTTTCAATATCAGTTTTGAATAATCAGAGTTTATATTTCAGTTGATAGATTTCTAAACTGGTTTAAGAATCAGCTAACTGTAATCATAGTCAACTCAGTGCAATTTGTACAAGGCTTTTAGTAAGGCAAAAATAATTGGCAATTCTCTATTGATATGAATGCAGCTTGGTTTCCTAGATATGGCAAAAACTTCTTTTTGGTACAAATTTTTAAATATTTATAAATTTAGTACAAGTCAAATATTAATTTCAAACAAACATTTTCATTCATTATCCACACATTCTGTGAGATTGACTATTGTTTTTCTTATGTTTCTAATGTTGAATGTACATACTAAACAATTTGTTAGCCTTGTCTACTATCGAATATAACGATTGAAGACTCCCATATGTTGGAGTCCATCACTGTTTGGTGTAGTTAAAAATCAAATTTTTAGTAAATTTTTATCAAAGATAAAATGTACTGTTAAAAAAATAAATAAAAGTTGTGGATTTCATCAGATGTATGATTAAACCTAATTATTGACTTTAACTTAAATTTTTATTAATTTTTTTCTGCTACACAAACACAGTTGAATTTGTAGGTAAGGTCTTTAAAGTAGGCATACAAGTGCGTACCAAATGATCGCATGTTGGTTGATATCTATATCTCAAACATTTTCCAAAATAACTTGAAGTGTATTAGAAGGTTTTATAATTACAATTTCAAGCAACGTTGAGGATTTTTTACCCCTTTTTTGAATCTAAAATTTATCTTTCTTTTGAAGCAAATTATTCTCACGCTTCTTGATTTATGTGATTATTACATTAATATCTCCACATGTTTTGATCCAATTTGTTATGAATACGAATTTTTCGATTTACCATTTTATCGAGTTAGTCAAGCTCGTAGAGTTACAAAGCATTTATGATGCATTGCAAATAAACAGGAGATGATTAACATTTCAAACACTCATTGATTCAATTGTATAATGAGGATTTGACAGTCAAATATTCGTTGATTTATAAGGAATAGAATAATTAAAAATTTGAAAAACTCTCAAATTACCACTTAACAATTTCTAGCTTTTAAAGGAAAATAAAAAACTTTAATTTACTATTCTAAGTAAAGATAAACTCTAAAACAAAAAAACAAATCTCAAAGTAATTAAAACAAGAAAACATAAATAAAATCAATTTCTGTCTTAATAATAGAAGTTCTAATTTGACAGCTTAGTGGCTCGTTTTTACCCAAAAAGTAATATTATTAATCCAATTCCGACATAATTAATTGTGTCAAATTATCTCTCTTCAAATTACTGATGCCTAAAACCTATACTATCATATATGTTACATGTAACGACTCGATTTTAAATTCCAAATGTTCTTAAAATACTTATACCAAGTAGATATCGAAATTCCAAAACCTTTGTAAAGATACAAGTAAGAGAATAATAACTCGTGTAACATATTTGTGGGGTGAATCGAAAAGTGTTACGTACCAATTATGTCAATACTAAGGGGCATCAATAAAAAGTCAACAAATAACAAATTAATTTCTTAAAGATCCAAATAAAAAAGTATATAAATATAAAAATATAAAGATGGTTGTTTAAGTGACCGTTTGGGTTTGTAATTAGGGAGAAGCAATGATTAATCTGAAATGATTATGAAGTGATTAAAATTCTTAAAACAGACAGAAATTTACTTACGGCATCAGCTTGTTTTTAATTAATGATTAAAGCTCACTTAATAATTACAACTCAACTGTCGAAAATTTTATTATCTTCTTTCACATTTTTTCAGCTGTAAAGAAATATTTCTGCCCATTTTCTTAGGGCCCGTTTGGTAGGAATTTTGAGAATTGATTTTTTGACCGTTAGAAGAAAAGTGGGATCCACATGTGAGAGAAGAAGTCAAAAATTACGCTTGAATAGTAAAATAACGGCCAAAAAATTAATTTTTTGAGGCAAAAAATCCCTACCAAACGGGGCCTAATTTTCTAAGGTTAATATTTATTCTATACTCATATTTTTTGATAATCTCTTAAATAGTTACACTATCGACTACTTTAGATTTTATTTCTTATTTAATTAATAAAACTACTCAGAATATTGCAATACTTTCAATTATGGTCAGTTACGAAGGCATGACTAGAATTCAGTGGAGACTTAATTTAACTAATATATATATTTTTTTTGTTTCAAACATAAATATTATTCTAAAAATAAAAATTAAAGAAAATTTTCATTTTTTCTCAAATTTTAGTCTGGGCCTAGGACTCCACTTAGCTCTGTCACTGATTATGGTTGGTAGAAAACATCGAGCTTGGAGTAATACTTACAATTTTGCACGTGTCTATTTATTATTATTATTATTATTATTATTATTATTATTATTTTTTTTTTTTTCAACCTCTCTCGATCATATCTAATTTTAGTTGACATTATTATGGCATTTATTTATGTTCCCAAAAAAATGGCATGCGCTATCTCGTATTTAAATATTTGAGATGCAAAATGGAAACTAATTTCATGAGTAATAAATAAATAAAAAAGAGGAAATATATTTTTTGAAAAAATAGTAGCTTAACCCTAGATCAAGGATGGAAAAAGTAACCTTCATTTGGTAAATTTTATTATATAATTTCATGATTATTTGTATCTATTATCAATTAAATCATTTAGAATGTCCTTCAAATGGAGGCTTGTTGATCGGTATGGTTGATTTTGATATTACGTATAAGACGTTCTTGTTTGATGGAGATTAAAATTGAATTTTTTGTATGTTTTGATTAAAAGATAATGAAATGTGCGATTGAAAAATTATATTGGGTCCTATAAAATATGTGATTAAAATTAATTGTTGACTTTCATTTAAATTAAAATTATTTTAATTTCTGGCGTGGGCTAAATTATAAAGTGTAGGTGGGAGACAAATATTGACCGGGATAGACANCTTGTTTTTAATTAATGATTAAAGCTCACTTAATAATTACAACTCAACTGTCGAAAATTTTATTATCTTCTTTCACATTTTTTTCAGCTGTAAAGAAATATTTCTGCCCATTTTCTTAATTTTCTAAGGTTAATATTTATTCTATACTCATATTTTTTGATATTCTCTTAAATAGTTACACTATCGACTACTTTAGATTTTATTTCTTCTTTAATTAATAAAACTACTCAAAATATATTGCAATACTTTCAATTATGGTCAGTTACGAAGGCATGACTAGAATTCAGTGGAGACTTAATTTAACTAATATATATATATATAGATTATGGTAGGTAGAAAACATCGAGCTTGGAGTAATACTTACAATTTTGCACGTGTCTATTTTATTATTATTATTATTATTTTCCAACCTCTCTCGATCATATCTAATTTTAGTTGACATTATTATGGCATTTATTTATGTTCCCATAAAAATGGCATGCGCTATCTCGTATTTAAATATTTGAGATGCAAATGGAAACTAATTTCATGAGTAATAAATAAATAAAAAAGAAAAGAAAAAAAGAGGAAATATATTTTTTGAAAAAATAGTAGCTTAACCCTAGATCAAGGATGGAAAAAGTAACCTTCATTTGGTAAATTTTATTATATAATTTCATGATTGTTTGTATCTATTATAAATCAAATCATGTATAAAGTCCTTCAAATGGAGGCTTGTTGATCGGTATGGTTGATTTTGATATTACGTATGAGAGGTTCTTGTCTGATGGAGATTAAAATTGAATTTTTTGTATATACTGATTAAAAGATAATGAAATGTGCGATTGAAAAATTATATTGGGTCCTATAAAATATGTGATTAAAATTAATTGTTGACTTTTATTTAAATTAAAATTATTTTAATTTCTGGCGTGGGCTAAATTATAAAGTGTAGGTGGGAGACAAATATTGACCGGGATAGACAAATGTCAAAATAAAAAGCATGGAGTATTGAGCATTAGGCACGTGGCCTCTTACTTGCCGTATTTGACTCGAAGAACTGAATTTTAGAGGCCTACGTTGCCCGCCGCAGACGAAAAGTCCCCCAAAAAAAAAGGGCAAAAACAATTGGTATACAGCACATATTCTCAGTATCCTTTTAATTTTTTCCTCAGCGGCTTGTCGATGAAGTTCCATGTTTTCTGAGCGCTAAACTCTGCAAACTCAAACACTAGAATTTCTTCGATAAAACCCAACAAATTCTTCCTTAAAATCCTCCAAGTTTCTCTCACTATATTATCTCTTTTCCATCAAATCTTAATAGGACAACCTTCAACAATCCACAGCTTCTTAGTATTATCGGTATGTCTTATTCCATAAATTTATTTTCTTCTGTTCTTGCGTTTATTTTTTGAGATAATAGACAGTGAATGGAATTTCTGCAAATTTCGGTTTAATTTGCAGTAACTTTATCCGTTATTTCTTGTTATATTTTCTTGATTTCTCTGCTTTTGTACTACCAAATTTCATGTTTCCTAATGTTAAAACTTTTCGAGACAGGGATTGATTGTCCTAGGTTTCTGTATTCAGTTATTCTATAGGGAATATATTTTCAGCACATTAGTATTGGACTTTAGTATGGACTAATCCCCAATATGTATTGTCATGTCGTGGGTCAATTCCTTGTTTATGTTTTTGAACTTTGAAATTTTCGGCTATTTAGCTTTTTATTTTTAATCTGCTCTTGGTCTTTGATTAGTATAGTTTTCATCGACGCCAAAATTTGTGGGTAATTCACAATTTGTGATTGGCAAAACAAATGATTTGTTCTCAGTCTGAATTTATCAATCTGTTTCTATTGAATTACAATATTGCATCTCTGAATTAAAGGTTGTTTGCCGTTTTGTGTAGTTATGATATTTTGAAACATGGGGAAAGAGACAGACGATATTTATTCCCTAGATACGGTTCTTGAGGACTACTTGAGGAGTATAGAATCCAACACAGATTCCCCCAGAACGGAGAAAGATCGAAAATCTGTTTCTCTATGGGCTGGATTCGTTCAATTATTTAAAATTAAATCCAAAAGTCGGTTAGCCACCTTACATCCTCTTAACATATCGAAAAGATTTAGCAGTAGCATGCGAGAGGAAGTCCGTGTATCACCTAATCCTGTTATGGATACTAGTTTGAAATATGTCAAGCCTCGTTGCAAGAACTTTAGCTTCCGCAAACTCCAAATTGCAACCAACAATTTTTCACAAGGTTTGGGATTTGTTCAAACGTTGCATTTTGAACCACTCGTTTTACGATATTGCCAAAACATTAATTTCGCATTTTCTATTTTTCAGAATGTTTAATCGGGAAAGGTGGTTATGCTGAAGTTTATAGAGGTTGTTTGCGGGATGGCCAGCTTGTTGCAATTAAGCGGCTGACGAAAGGATCACCGGACGAGAGAATCAGAGACTTTTTATCCGAGCTTGGGATAATGGCTCATATAAACCATCCAAATACTGCTAAATTGATTGGATATGGGGTCGAAGGAGGACTGTACCTTGTCCTCGATTTGTCTCCTCTTGGGAGTTTGGCTTCTCAGCTTCACAGTTAGTACAGTTTTTCTTGGTTCCATTTTCTTCACCTGATCAATAACTTGTTGCGTTTGTATTCTTACTCTCAATTTCTTTCTGCTGTCTTTAAATTAAACAGATTCAGATGAGAAGCTAAAATGGGATATCAGGTACAAGGTTGCACTGGGAACGGCTAAAGGTTTGCTTTATCTCCACGAGGGTGGTCAAAGAAGGATCATTCACAGAGATATCAAGTCTGCAAATATACTGCTCACTAAGGACTTCGAGCCTCAGGTGTTAAATAATTTTTTTTGTTGGTCAAAGAGTTGGAAATAAGTAGGTTTTTAATTACTTGGCAGTAACTCGTACTTTCATTTCAAATAAGCGACCTTTTCTTCTTATAATGAGGAAAAGAGTATCGTATCCAAGCCAGTTTGAAACAAAACTTACTTATAAGTAGGTTTAAGTAAGTTTGACTTTTAGCCAAACATGTTTCAAGTTAGATACTAGTGATTAGGTGATCACATGCACCTGAATTTTGGATAATTGAACTTAGTCATATCTATCTAATCTTCTTCATATCAATAAAATAGCCTGAAGAAATAACATGTTTTAAGGTTATTGGATGGTTCGAACTCAGAAATTTCTTTTAATGCAGATTTGTGATTATGGGCTTGCAAAATGGCTACCGGAGCAATGGACTCACCTCACAATTTCTGAGTTTGAAGGCACTTTTGGGTTTGTAGAACGTAACATTTTTTTATTTTTGATCTCTATCCATCAAGATTCTACTACTAATTTCTTTGTCTCTCTGCAGTTATTTACCTCCTGAATTCTTGATGCATGGCATAGTAGATGAAAAAACCGATGTTTTTGCCTTTGGTGTGCTTCTGTTGGAACTTATAAGTGGGCGACGAGCACTTGATTACTCACAACAAAGCCTTGTTATGTGGGTACGAGTCTTCCATCCAATCTGATTTGAGTTGATTTGCCATATTAGCTGATTGACGGCATTTGAAAATTTTCTTTTTCTGTTTACTTGTTTCTAGGCAAAACCTCTGATAAAGCAGAACAAAATTAGGGAGCTTGTGGATCCTGCACTGGACGATGACTACAACTTACTACAAATGAATCTCATGATTTTGGCTGCTTCTTTATGCGTGAAAGAGTCTTCTGTTCAACGTCCTACGATGAGTCAGGTATGCGCAAGTTATAACATTGCTTATGTGCAGTCGGGATTATCAAATTCAAATATGTCCGGTAGACATTGAACAGATGTAAAGATTTTATTCGTGCAAAAAACAATATCCTGAGATTATTCAAGTCTGCAAGCATTAATCCTATTGATTAGTTATCTGTGTGATTATAGGTTCTTCTGCTTTTACGAGGAAGCTGTGGCGGCATAACTTTGATCAGGAAAAGTGGAGAGCTATCTAGTTGGAAGACGTATTTCAAAGAGCATTTTCGTGCAGAAGAGCACAGCCTAACCCGTGGCTCGAGTTATGCAACTTGTCAGAAACATATAGCCCTCAAAGTCTAAATTTCTTGTTCAACAATAAGCATCAAACATCAAGCAGAAAGAAGTGTCCAAGCACACACTTATGGCACTCTTGGTAGAGAAGACTAGATAGCATCGAGGATAGCCATCCAGTAGGCTAAAGATGGAGCAAAGATTTTATCCTCAATGCTTTGCACTTTGCAGCATAAACTGGATGCAGTTTATAGACGTTTTGTAGATTTCCATCAATTCTGTGGGAATGTGACCGGCATCCGTCCTATTCCCGAGCGTGGATGAGAAGAAGATGGAACCATGAAAATGGAGAAGTTTTGACAAGATCCATAATACCTGTACATACTGTAATGTGTACCTACCAAGTACCTTTTTATTATTATTTTATTTTATTTTGTGTAATTAATGTTTAGTTTATAAAGCAGGTTGTGCAATTCTTGACATTATTAGTGTTCGGCAAAATCCCGCAAGTGTACAGGTTCATTGTACAAGTAATTATCGTGATGAGAGATTTATTGTCCCACAAGAAATAAGGCTCAATTATAGTCTAAATTATAGTATATTTGATATATTTTAAATTCGTGAATGTAACAAAAGATGGTTGGATTGTATTTAACTACGTTTTATAACTACAAAAGCAATAAAAGTTGGTTTAAAAATCAAATGTGGATGAACGTATTGGATTTTCGACTCCACTAATCAACTCTTAATTTCAATCATCAACCCGTGATAATTAATTCAATTAATGCAATTGTGACGATCGATAATTTCATTTTTGTTCACTATTCTTTTTCAAGATATAATAAACATATGATTGTCACAAGATGATCATATTCGTAGATCGAATTTATATAACAAATATCTATTAACGTTTAGGATTATCACACATTATCGCACACGACATGAGTACGATTCCTAATATTTATTGTTTATATGTTTCATAAATAATGTTCTACGTATTGTGAGTTTTTCAACATTACGAATAAGCAATTTATTGCCTTAATGGTGCGTAAAAATCAAAACAATGTAATTGTGCATGTTGATGGAATCACAACGCAAGAATTTAGTTAAAAACACAGTCTCAAATTGAAAAACTAAAATTTAAAGAGTTTTGTCATCCATTCAATACAATGAAGTTTAGCATAGCATATTAATGTAAGAATTACAAAGAAATTTAAAGAAAATCATCATCCGAATCATTAAACTATGAAGAAAATCTGAACATCTTCAATTAAAGCCTTCAAATTTGATTCCAAGGATGAATTCTTCGTTCTTCGATGTAAGTTCTCTCTATTTTCTCACAGAATTTAGCTCCCTTTTGTTCTGGAGGTGTTCTCTTATTTATAGGATGCCAAAGAGATTGCTTACCAAAACAGAATAAGAAAAGAATGATTTTTTCCTGTTTTACACTGAGGTGCTCACCTAGCATAAACTAGGATGCACGCCTTATTGTGTTGGGACACTTTAGGCACCGTGTTTTGTATCTGAGACGCGCGCCTCTCCTGCAGGAAATACAACCCCTTGGCTTACTTTGTGGGGGCCAAATTTGCAACTTGGCCCTTGAACTTTCTCTAAGGTCTTCTTTTCGTCCTTTTTCGCTTCTTTTTGCTCCTTTTCCTTATGTTTTTGTCCAATTGAGTTCTTGCAATCTCGAATCTTCGTTCCTCGTTGCGAGCCAACTTTTGATTATTTGCATTTTAGTCCCCAAACTGTATATAAGATTTGTTTTAGCCTCTTTTTTCACACGTTTTATCTAATTCCACCACAACCATCAATGTTTCACCTATAAAGTCATATTTACATAGAGTTAAGTCATATTTCAAATAATAAATCAACAATTATTCTTGTTTAACTGTCCAAATAAGTCTATAAAATACAGTTATCAATTTGGAAAAAATCGAATATAAATTTTAATACATTGTAATGTGCAGACTGTGTCTAAATGTTTTTGCCCACACAAGTGGACTGGTAGGGGCCATGACTGGTCTTGGTTCTTGTATGAGGGACGAGTTGAGTCGATTCAATCTACTTTACATGCCTATTGAACCTAACCCTTTCCTTAATATGTAAAAAATATAATTAAATATAAAAATTGGCAAAGAGCATATTCTACATAAATTTTATAATCAATTAGCTGGGCGCCCTGATAATTTCAAATTTTTTTGTATGGGAAAAAGAAATCGATTCCATTTCTCTCTTTTGGGGGCTTTTTAGAGACTCAGTTTGCAGGTTAAAACTTTGAAAGACATCATTATTCGCATTGTTTAAAGCAAATACTCCTAATTGGGTTCAAATTTTGTACTCCTAATCCCCAATACTTTGGCAATAGAAGCGTCAATAGTGAAGGTAAATTTGTAAAGAAGAAGGTCCAACATGTTTTTTCTCAGCTTGACAAGCTTACAATTAGTCCTACAGTTGAGTCCAGCACGGTCTAGTTTAACGGGCGAAGTGGCTCATTGGCCGACCCAATCTAGTTAGGTCATGTTTGGATAGCCTCGATTGGACTTTCGACATGACACGACAAATAAAAGTAGGATGGCTAATTCATTTTTCAACCGTGCTATGCTGTTCGAATTCTTTTGACATAATGGCTTATTGATACTCACAATGTAGTACGGCTCACTTTTTTTGGACTTTTTTATTCACATCGGACCCATGCGCATGTGAGAGGACGTCAACCATTCTGTCAAAAATTTTCAGGCAAAGTATTTTAATTCTTCGTTTTTATAGTTTTTAGAGAATATGCATTTAATATGTTAAGATTACATAAATAAAGAAAATAAAAGAGACGAGAATGTCGCAAAAATGATTTAATCTTTTGCCTCTTGCATTAAACATATAAAGAAAGTTCAGTTGAGCCCGAAAGCCTTGAGTTCCATGTTAAGTTAGTTTAATATTTTGTTTACTTGCAGAAGCATAACTAGCATGGCCATGCTTACAAGCAATACCAAGAAAATAAAAATTCTAAAAGTGACAATCGAGCTTGAACAATGTATCACATTCTCTCCATACGACTTTAGAATCAAGAGAAATTACCGTTGAACAATCGAATATCATACTTTTGTTGAATCTTCCAAATACGATCTCGTGATCAAGCTTGCATAGGTAGATGTTATTCACTAGATATAATTGTTGTCCTTGATCCTCGCAACTTTTACCATTATATGAAACATGTTGGACATGATGCTACTCTATTCATTCTCAAGTCGAAAATGGGGTCCTAGTCCAAGCCCAATCTCCTAAACACTTAGCCCCTTTTGGTTTTGATAAAATTAAACGGTTAAAAAGTAGATAAAAGTTGTGGATCCCATAAAATTTGTAGTTGAAAATGAATTTGCGGAATAACTATTTTTAAGTTTCTGGGCCCCACAAAAGGGTTTAATATGACCTGGTAGAGAATTTTAACAAAAGTAGGATTTTTATTTTTAGTAGATTTGAAATCTGAATAGGATCCCTAAGGCATTAGAATGCCTTGACACGATCCGAACCTAATTAAGATTACAACAAAATTGAGAATACTCGGGGAGAGAAACCTTAGTTCATTTAAATATGGTGTTCTGCGAGGTGAATATTTGCAACAAGAGACACATGTAAAAAATCAGCTTCGACGAAATCATTAAAAAAAGGGCTTCAAATCAAACTTCAACTTTTAAAATTTTAACTATTTGTGAAATATTTTAATGCTGCTTTACTTATGGAGCGAGTTTGTACCACCCTGGCACATGATGACTGGTTGCTAGGGTTGTTGGGTTGGTACAGTTACTCATATTAGGACCATTTTAAGAGGGTCGTTGTGGGATTAATGTAAAAGCCAAAGGCTTGCTTCATTTTGAGAAAATTGCAAGATACAGAGGTGGCGGATCCGGCCAAGTTGGGTCAATCTGCCTATGAGGTGGCTCAATATAGACTTCTCTAGACTCAATTCGATCTCTATTTTTCTATTGCCTATATGGGATCTTCTTTTTTTAACGTAATAATAAAAGAAATTTGATTCGGCGAGCCCTACTCTAGAGAGTCCATATCGGGTACGCGTGACTTGACCCAAATTAATACCTCTATTCATATTTATCAAAATCGATCTTATCAATTATTAACCAAATTGGTGTTGCTATATTTTTTTCTGCATTTGTACTCCACAATTATTGAGCTATTAAATTTTGTATTTCTGTTTTTTATATCACTTTAGCTAGGTTAAGTAATTAATTCCAAATAATTTCTCCATATCATCAAGGCTTCAACTACTGATTGTTGATATGTATTAATTATTTTAAAGATTAATTCACGTGGCTAGATAAATACTTTTTTATTTTATCTGTTTATAATATTGCAAGCAGTGCTTTTGAGTATTAGGAATGCACGAACTTGCTAGTATTAGACTAGTTGACTTAAGAGTGTGATGACTTGCCCTATATTGATGCCTTGGTACGAGTGTGATAGAATCGTCCGCATCTGGCATGGCTTGTGATTGGTGCATGTTGCATTTGCACAAACGTGAGGAATGTGTGCTTCTGATAGGAACAGAAGTTTCGCAGAGCAGGATTCATTTGATGATAGTACTGCAGGGACGGGATTTCTCTTAATATATTTGGGATTATCCATGGGTGTGTAGGATTTCTTGACGGCGTGCACGACAATGTGCCAACGTCAAGGCATGAGTATCAGTTGGAGGCAGCAAGACATGGACGCATGCCAGCTTGTTACCTTAACTAATTTCAGTCCAAATTTAGTTGGCATAAAATAGGCTCACAACTGAAAGTTAAAGTCAGTTTACTAAGTTCTTGAACAATGGAGCAATTTGGCTTGGTGATAAGCTAAAAACTTCTTGTAATCGTATAGCAGTTGGAGGTGTCAACTACATGGAGGAATTTTTATATATTTGGCCAAGTGTTGAGGCAACGATAAAATAATTGGAACGTCCTCCACATCAAATCATATATCCTATATTGTTGAGTAATAAAGGTTGAGAGGAGTTCCCGTACGTTTTGTGATTGCAATTTTCTTCTAGTTTTCTGTACCTTAGTCACGTTTTCATATATCTCTTGTTTAACCTTATTTTCTGAAACTCTACAAATTTTATTCAACATTGTTAGCGGTACAATTCTCTTTACATGGTGGGTGACAACCCCCTCACAACAGGGGGGTCGCGTCTTTTTTTATTGGCACAGGCTCCCCTTATTGTGAGGGGGTGTAAAATGTACTGTCCTAGTAGGACTGTACATATATCAAAATCCAATTTTATTTCTTACACAGTAGCACCATATTTTAAGTGTACTTAAAGTTCTTGATCTTTACTCATATAGCACTTATGTCCCTAACAATTTTTCATATCGTTCTCATCCTTAAAGTTTTCATTAATTAACACGATTTATATTTGATAACATATTCAAAAGCCCATTGAGATGGCGTAAAACAACTTATTTTTCATCATATTTTTAAAAAATATAAATAAAAAGTGTAAAAAAAATATTTTCCCCTCATTTCAAAACATGAAGATAAAATAATTTTTTTATATAAATCATTACTAAGAACTGGATGTATTAATTAATGGAATGTTAAAGATAAGAAATTGATAGAAAAAGCTAAGGAAATAATTGTTATAATGAGCAAAAATTGAGGAGTTTAACTGCAATTAAAATGTAGTGTATCAAGTAAAAATTATGGTGGCAATATAATCACCCTTTTGAAACTTATTTTTCTTTTGTGTTATTTTTAATTACGTAATCTTTCAATAAAATAATTTATATGTAATTTTTTTTTTTTACTTTTTAACCTCACATTCTTAAAAAAAAAAAAATTAATTTTATTATATTTATTCACAAAAGAAAAAAAAATCTACCACACTGGTTACAGTGGCTTTATTTCAGTGGAATAAAATTTTAATCTAATTAATTAAAAGTAAGAAAAAGAAAAAAGTAAGGAAAAAATTCATATCTAAGAGGTTAAGTATGGTCCATTTTCAAAACTAAGACACAAAGTTTAAAACTTTACAGATCAGATATTAATTAAATTTCATTTATGAAATAATTAATTAAGAATATATTTTATTAATTAAATATTTAAGATCACAACTCTATATTACATGGTCACAAATTATCGAATTAATTTGTCACAAGTTATTTCTAGGTTACAAATCAAAAAATTTATAGGTCACAAATTATTTCACGATCACAAATAAAAATTTTTATAGGTTATAATTTATTTATCGATCACAAATTACTAATTTTATAAGTCACGAGTCAAATTTTTAGACCACGTATTATTTATTGATCACATATTATTTATTACTCATAAAACATCCAATTTATTGGTCACGATATCAAATAATTGGTCATAAACATTCCCACACTACGCCACCCACCCACAATCGGTAACCAACGTACTGCTGCAAGTACTACGACCATCATCACAATCACCACCACCTCCGTTGCCAGCAGCACCACCACCACCAAATATATTGTTGCCATATCTTACACCCGCAATCGCTTGCTTCAACAACAACCGATCACCTCCACCTCCTACTCTAATCAACCACCACATCAATGCCACCATCGCCTGCTAGAGTTTACCATCTCATACAACACTCACATCACAACCACTACCCCGACAACAAAACCATCAAACCCGCAACAATCATCAACAAAACATACTAAGCTCCCATTTGCCCTCCATTTTAGGAAAATGAAAATGGATGGAATAGTATTTTTTTTTTAAAAAAATGTGGTTGAAAAACAAGGAAAAAATTTCAATTTACGTGTAATATTATTTTATGAAAGATTGTGGTTGAAAATAAGAGAGAGAAAAATGAAATGTAATGGAATTGAAATTAATGGGGCCAAAAGGGGGCTAAAACTTCGGTAAAGTAAAAGATCAGAAAAACCACCACGAAATATCGCTTAGCAATGTAGCCTGTAAGTATCGTAGGTAGCTAGCTACACATCATTTTAGCAGCACGGTACTGCTTTGAGCTGTGCACAGGGATTGTCAAAAGGCCGCTTCACATGATCGTGGCATGGTGCGCTATTGCCGTTGATAGAGAGAAAATGGAGGAAGAAGGAGCGGGAGAAGAGCAGAGGGTGAAAAGAGAAAGTCGAGGTGATGGTGGCACTCGACGGCTATGGTGGGTATCGGCTGCTTTTTGCAGCAATGGCACACGACTATGTCACCAACGAAGAGAGAATGAAGAAGTGGAGGGAAGAGGGAGAGACGGAAAAGATGGATGAAAATTTTTGGTTTGAAATTGCTAGAGAGAGGAGGAAAGAGTGCAAAGAATAGGGAGAAAAATTTAGGATTTGAGATTGGGGTAGATTGGATGGGTATATTAATTAATTTAATTTTATAATATTAAAAGATGAATAAGTATTATTTTTATAAAAGAAAATTCTTTAAATTTGATTTTTGAACTGGACAATTTAAAACTACGGGTACCAATAATTTCCACAAAAAGTAGGTCTACCACTTCACTTTCACCTGTCAGCCTTGTACAGATCCAGGTAGGCTCGGACCCAAATACATACCAGAAAAAGGCAGCAATAAAATAGTACAAAGTGAAGGCTGTCTGGCTGTAATATTCTATTATTAACTTGTCCTCGTACTTGATGCAGCCACAGTGTCCATTCCACCCTTCTCTCACAAGCCAATAAAACTCTAACCGCCTAACTAACAAAACAATAATCAAGAAAATCAAACCAATTTTCTTGATTAAATTTTTTCCTACCCATTTATTGTTTACTTTCCTCCCAAGCCACTCTATATTTTCCATGTCAAGGTCAATTTATAATTAAAATTGAAAATTTTAAACAATCAATTGTATTAGAGTTGGTTTAGAAAGATTTTCTCAATTAAAAAATAATTTTTTAAAGAATGTATATATTCAAAGCAGGAAAAATTAATTCTCACATTGGTTGAAAATTATTTTGAGGAAAAAAAAAAATCTCCCAAACAATCTCTAATCTAATGTTGAATAGAACAATAAATTGTTAATTTTGACCATAATTTTTAACAACTTTATTTTTAAGCTTTTTGAGCAAGCACTAAAATAATCAATATACAAGGACTTTTACTTGAAGGACCCGAATTAAAGCATGTTGAGATTTGTTTATAATCAATTTAATTATAAATAAATAAAAATAAATTGGTAAATAAAATATGTTTTGACCAATCACAGACGGATTATAAATAGCTCTCTTAGTAGCATGACTAGCATTCAACTTTTCTAAGAAGGAACTAACAAAACAGTATATATTTTTTGTTGTTTTCTTTCATGCGAAGCCATTCTTTTTATCACTATTTATATTTCACTTTCATCTCTGCAACTTTCATGCTGTCTCCATTAAAGCTTTCACGCCCTTCCTCTATTTTTTTCCACCATAAATCTCTACTCTTCACGGAAGGCGCTTCCCAGAAACCTTTTATTTCTTCTGCACCATTACATTCATGATTCAACTGTAGAAGAACAAAGTTATGAGTTTTCTATTCAGAAAAAATGTTAACTTCTTCATATATATTTCCCATTTGATTCTCTTCTTCAGCTGCACTATTGTTGCGGGTGGCATGTTGGCGCCAGTTGATTTCTTGGCCCTGCAAACAATCCGGAGAAGCTTGGAGGATTTACCCGGGTCGAATTATTTTGCTTCCTGGGATTTCTCTTCGGATCCATGCAAATTTGCCGGAGTGTATTGTCGAGGAAATAGAGTTGTAGCTTTAAATCTGGGCGATCCACGGGCAGGGTCACCAGGTTTGACGGGTCGGATTAACCCTGCTATTGGTAAACTCTCTGCTCTTGCCGAATTCACTGTGGTACCGGGCCGGGTTTTCGGGTTTCTACCACAGACATTATCTCAGTTGAAGAACCTAAAATTTCTTGCAGTCAGCCGGAACTTCATCTCTGGCCAAATTCCGGTGACTCTGGGCCAGCTCCGGGGACTTCGGACTCTTGATCTTAGTTTCAACCTGCTTACCGGAAGAATCCCTTGGTCCATCGGAACACTACCAGAGCTGTCCAACGCCATTCTCTCTCACAACCGGCTCACTGGTCCAGTTCCACCATTCGGTTCCCGTATCCTAACCCGGCTCGATCTCAAGCACAATTCCCTCTCGGGTTCCCTTTCACCACTATCCCTCCCTCCCTCTCTTCAATACCTCTCAATCTCTTGGAACCGGCTCACCGGCCCATTGGACCGGATTTTATCCCGTCTAGGCCGGTTAAGCTACCTCGACCTCAGCATGAACATGTTCACCGGACGGATTCCTGGCATTATCTTCAGTTTCCCAATCTCTAACCTTCAATTACAGAGAAACCTATTCTCCGGCCCGGTTCAACCGGTTCATTTTGTAACGATCCCGACCGTGGATTTGAGCTTCAACCAGTTGTCGGGTGAAATATCTCCATTGTTTTCCACGGTTGAGAATCTATATCTGAATAACAACCGGTTCACGGGTCAAGTCCCGGGTAGCTTTGTGGACCGGATATTATCAGGCGGTTTAAGAATAGTGTATTTACAGCATAATTATCTGACCGGAATTCGGATTAATCCATCTGCTGAGATTCCACGAAGCAGTTCACTGTGTCTACAGTATAATTGTATGGTCCTGCCCATAGAGACACCTTGCCCTTTAAAGGCTGGAAAACAGAAGTCAAGGCCTGCTCAACAATGCAGATGGAGAGGGTAAAATGGGAATCAAAATTTCCATCGAGGGCAAAATGGGAATGTTAAAATTTATACGTTTGTTTTTTTCTTTTTTTGGCCCTTTTACCGTTATTTGTTGGATAATATTCTTGAAATCACTACTCGAACAAAATATTCAAATAGAACTTGTGCACGACAATTTTCTCTAGGTACTCATAGTGACTTAATAATTAATTGATTATGCAAAAAATTTCCACTTCTAATTAAAGGAGCCCCTACCATATTATATTTCTTGGCCTCCAATAATAGAAGGGTCATCATCGTAGATTTCCATCTTTTTCATATCATCACTCAATTTTGATTTGTTTCAATTTGACGATTGATTGACACCAAATTAAATTAGTAGTGCAAACAAGTGCAAGATTATGCATTCCAACAACCATACAAGAGCCGCCTTTTAGTTTTGGTAACATTACACACGAAACGATCAAAATGAAATAAAATTTAAATCAAACGATGGAAATGAAATCAAAAGTTAAATAATCAACATGGAACAAAAATTTTCCTAGTATCTCTATACGTTATGATTCCCATGAACAAGATAATTTGGAAACGACAACATTTATACGATCAGATCATAAAATGTTTAGAGTTTCAACTCAACTCAAGAAACCTATGCACTTCTAGTCAACTGAAATGATCTTTTACTCAATCCAAACAACATTTGGATACATAGAGTAATCCTCGTACAAATCTTCTGATGTTTTGTATATATGTTGCCAAATAGTTAGAACATGTTAGGAACTTGTAGATTCGGGAGGATAGACATGATGTAAAATTTATGATTGTAAAGTTCAATCTAACATATCAAACATGCAACTTTTGCTTGCGCGTTTGTCAAGAATCACTAGACTAGTCTTTTGATAATGACCAATACCAACTATTTCTCCAAAATCATGTGAATGTTTTGAGTATTTCTCAACTCTTCTTTTGGTTTCAAAGTAAACACTCACAAGAAGAAAGTACTTTCTCCAAGGGAAGATGAGTCATTTTCTATTTTCCCTCTCTTTTCCCTCTTTTTATTTTTGGCACCATTAGGGATGGATGGTTGGAATGACTCGATTCATGGACAATCTCAAGATCCTAGATTTTAAGATATTAAGAACCGCTTACCGTACTAACTAGGCAATTATGAGTTACATAAATCGTGAGAGACCAACAAAAACTTATCTGTATTATAACTTTATTCCCGTAATATCAAAATGAATACTTTATTTCACCGAAAATAACCATGAAACAGACATATTTGCTATGGTAAACCAAGACATAACAGTGTTAGCACCATGCATTGAGTACCATTCTTCGGGAATATATACAATGTATAAACCGTACATGGTACACATTTTATTTCACAATATCACGAGATATAAAGCAAATTTGCAAACAATATCTCACTGCGAATAATTATGCAAATTGCTTGTAGTACATGATAACATTAGCCCATCATTTGAACAACTTACGGGCAGTATATGCAGTCTTTAATAAAAATGTCTCCTCCGGTGTTTCTTCTTGTTTGTAGGGGATGGTGCCTCGTTGTTACCAGGGAATTCCCATTTGACAACGTCCCCATCCCAAGAAGAGCTAACGAGCATCGGATACGTTGGGTGCCAACTGCAATCTCTGACGGTTGATTTATGGTGCTGTAGCTTCGCAACTTGGGCCCCAGTTACCTAAAGGTTACGGTACAAAATATTGGTACGAATTGAAGCTTAAAGGAAACACTGGGCACTAGATTAATGGTATCAAACAGCATATCCTTTGTCCAGATTATATTTGGAAATTGTTCTGATAGCATTGACATCAAAAGAAACTCTAATAGGATATTTTCTTGGCTCTCTTAAATAATCTTCTATTCAGCACTAGAGCATGTCTTCCTAAGCTTATAAAAAATAGTATTTTAAAGCAACTTTTATTTTAAAATCTAAAAAAATATTTATTAGTTCAAAAACTTTCTTTTAGAAAAAGTACGTTTTTTCCTACATTTACTTCTCTTTTTCGTCTTGGCCAAATACGCTCAATCTCAAGGATTCCAAGAATCATTAAAATACCTGCCTCCACTCATAGAATGTATTAAAAGAATTTCAAAATTCAATCGAGCAAAGGAGATGACTTATTCAGCTAAAAGAATTATATACGTACCAAATCATAAATATAGATGCATGAATCATGAGATCCAGTGTAGATGTACTTCTGGCCAGTGCTGCAAGTTGTAAAGAAATATAAAGCATCTTTAATTTTGAAAGCCAAAGAATCAAGTTCGTGCAAATTTATTGATTAAACAAAAAGGTATAAGTTGAGCAGAAATTAAGATGACAATGGAATGATATAATAAGAGCACTCACCTGTACTCTGGGGAGAAGTAGCACCGGATGAGAGTACGCAAGACTGAATGACCTTTATAAGTAGCTATTGATTGATCATATGGGTGCTTCCAGGTTCTTGCCTGAGGAGGATAGTCCATCCATCTGTAATCCCATTCATAATTCCTGTATCCTTGATAGCTGTAAAAAGAGAAAACGAAAGCCTTTATTCTGCTTTTCCTAGATTTCTTGAGTAATTAGTGAACCAATGATTTAGACATCAATTTTACTATATTGTGCATGGACTTGCTCCTCAAGTCTCTAGAACGGACATGTACATGTCTACTTAAAGGGTAAATATGATTGATTTCGGAGAGGATGTAATATCAAAACATTTGAGCGGTAAAGAAGGATATGAAATTATAACTAATAGGTGCACGTCACGATATTCATGACGTTATAAGACCACCATTTTGGAACAATTTGGAGGTCTTATCTTGGTTTAGTAATTTTTCAAATAGCTTGTCTATATTTCTGTGTCCAATGTCAGAATCCTTCTTTGAACCAAACTCCTGGTAATAAAATTTCACAATGCAGTGACCAAGACTTAGATCCATATCCATAACTGTTCCACGTGCTCTTAAAGTATATCCATTTCTATGTTCTTGAGTGCCATGTCTTGTTCAAGTATGGAATCCTAACAGAACGGTAGGATTAACATGGATATTTACCCTCCCTAAATAATTAGCCAATTCTTATGCCACATCCTTACTAACATCATATACTTGTAACAACTCGGCAGAGAGCGAAACTCTAACGAACCAACTAAATAATTACAACTGTAACATCCATGGAAGGAAAATTCAAGGGAGACAATGGAGAGGTTGAACGTGGTTTACCAATTAGTATTGGATGACATTTTCCTTATATCCCAGAGTTTGATCACCTGATCTTTACCATTGGAAATAAAATAACGACCATCTCCACGACTATCAAGAAATGTAACACCCTCGAGGTGGCCCATTAGGACCCCTGCTGGCTTGCCTTTGACTTTGAAGCAGCGTCTGTCCCAAACCTATGTAGAACAAGAAGTCACGTCGCATTATTAAATTAGAACAAATAAAAGAGAACTTAACTTCCCTATTGCCTCCAAAGTGGCAAAATTGTCTTATTTAAGTTCTAGTTGAATCCTTTGCCATAGACCAATACCGTACTTCACAATGTTATACATCACTTTTCACCATCCAAATCGTAAAAGCCCCATTAAGTTTCTGTTCTCCTCGGTTATGTTAAATTTAAGAAAAAACACTCATTTAAAGATGTGAATTTCATAAAAGAAAGAAAATCCTTGAATATTCATAGCAGAATTGTGTAGATGGAAAAATAACTTGATGTTCCAGACACCACAACATCTAATTAACAAAACAGAACAGGAAGATAAAAGGAGAAATAATGAAAGCAGGAGGATTCCGGCTTTGTTCTTGGCTTTTAAGAAGCTGAAAATTCTTTACACTCACAATGCCACATTACTGTTAAGTACCTTGTGCTCAAGCACGAGGAACCTCCAATAAATTTAAGAGCTCTAAATTAACTGCTTTGAATTTCAAAATTTCTAAGAGGGCTAACAGAAGTTATAACAACTCATCTAAGCAACTAAAATTTGATTAACATTTGGTCATTGAGGAATATTTACAAATACAAGATTTAAATAACAATAACGATTCTAATGGACACAAGCCAACACAATATTTATCTCCATGATAAAATATAAAGATGAATGTGGGAGAAATAAACAGATGAGCAACATTTGTTTTGCCTGGATTGTCAAGCATGGGTTATTCATATTTAAAGAAACTTTGATTACAAGTAATAGACAGTTCACAGGTAATGACTTCCAATACATTCTGTGCTTTCACAAACTAATTGGTTAAATTTTGTTGTTGAAGAATAAATTTAAATAAATAAGTGGGCCCTCTAACATCACATCTCAATCATTTAGACGAAGTGGTTAAACATGGTATTAGAGTGGTAGAAGTCATGAATTCGAGGGCAAGTGCTGCCACCCATTTATGAAAATTTTGTACATGTCGGACCTTTGATGAAATTCAGCTTTCACGTGAGGGAGTGTGAAAGACTAAATTTAAATAAATAAATGTGTCCCCTTATTTAACCATTTAAACTTTTAGATGAGATGATTCGATAATATCTATCAACAAATTTGCCCACGCTAAGAAGAGCTCGTAATTTAAAGATTCAGTACGGATTGAGTTGCATAAGTAATTACCTTGCAGAAATTGTCGTCGCTACCAGAATAAATAAGATGACCACCTTCATCGGCAAAACATACCGTGTTGACATCAGACTGAATCAGGAAGAAAATACATCTGGTCAACTGTCTATATAAACTTTCAGGAAAAGTAAAGAATATTTAATAGCTAAACCCGAACAAATTCAACAATCTTTTTAAAAAATTACTTTTAGGTTCTGAGATTGAATTCTTCAAAAAATAAACACAGCAAGATATCACATGCGAAACAAGAATCAGGCTTCACAAAGCAGGTTGCACACTAATTCATTAGATTGGTATCAGTATTGATGTCTTAGGGAGTAATATAATCATGGGACTTATTTGCAGGAATATTGCTATTTTGTACAACTGGGCAAAGTCAACATTTTCCTTTTCCAGACAACCTTTTTTTCACAAACGTCATATAGTCCAGTTATTCTTAAAACACATCTGACTTCCCATATGCCGCCCACTTTAGGATGAGCAAGCAAAACAACTTCACTCTATACTCAATAAAAATGTCGTCCATCGAGCGGTCAAGTTCGAGCAAATTCAATGGTTGAAGGAAACTCTTAGTTTTTCGCACAAGGGCATTGAATGCCAAAAACTTTTTGTTTCAGCCCATAATGAAAGCTCATCCTCTTCACAGAGTGATGTACAAATTAAAGTGTCCGTTCCTCTATGTGCTACTAGCAATTATCTTACTCAACAGCAGGAAAACATAAAAGAAGATAGAAGATGTATGTTAATGCCAATTCTACCGTGTGCGCTTGAATCCGGAGAGAGAGTTTATTTGCTTCAAGATCATAAACATACAGGGAATCATCACTACTTCCAGCTACAATTTCTCGACCATCAGTTGAGAATTTCAAGGAGAAGATTCCAAAAGAATACCCCCCATCGTCGGCAGCAGAGAAATCCAAACCATCATGGATTTCCTGCACAATAAACAAGCCACCATTGAAAAATCACTAAACAAAGATATATTCAAGTCTTAAATCAGAAGTGCAACACTGAAAGTCCAAATGGACTGAAATATATGTCTTGTCTACTTATTTAGTATAATAAAACATATTTATTAACCATAACAACAGTAGCTTCTCAAATACCAAACAAAATAGAACTTGGACTTCGTACTGTGATGTTTGCAAGAGATTCTGTTGTAGTAGATCCAACATTAACAACATTAACAATAGGTGACATGGTAGCATAGACCTGCAACCACAACATAAAGTTTGACAAATAAGATCATAATTACAAAAACTGGATTTGCACTTTAGGAAAACAAAACAGAAATAATATAACAATCAAGATACTATAATAATTGAGTTACAAAATTCTACAGCATCCGTTACTACTGGCGGTCTATGACTCCAGTAGACAGAAAGCAAACTTCAACTTCATCCAAGAAATTCAACCAATTACTACCAATGTACTTTATATGTGCACTGAGAATTTGATTGGCTCGCACTTCAACTACATCCATCTTCTTATCCCAAGGGCTGTATACTTTTTTCTCGTTTATTTTTTCCAAATCTTACAGGACAGTGGAGTTTCATCCCAACATAGAAGTAAAATTGCACTAATATTATCTCTCTGAACTTTAAGATAATAAGCACCACAAGACACAGCTTGGATATCAGAGACAGAAAACATATAAAAGGTATGTAACCACCATGCGCACCTTGCAGCTGCACTTTTCCAATTATGTCATATCGTGATTGAGTATGACATATATAAAAGGCACAAATTCAAATAAAACAATTCACACACTTTTCAAATCAGCTACCATGAGAAGAGGTTCACATTCAGCACCATCTCATACAGAGGAAATAGCATGAGAACTCACAAGATATTGTTGATTTGGTGAAAGAGACGTGTCAGTAACTGTCCATCTCAAGCTTCTGGCAAGAATGTTCTTCTGAACTTTCCACCCCCTATCCACATCATATATTCTGATGTGGCTTCCCTGTTTTAAAAGAACCAATAGGGTTCCAAGTTAAATAATTCATCATTTGGAAGCAATAAAAGCATGAAAGCACATTCAACTAGAGAAATCACAAATAATTCACTCAATTAAAGTGGATATTTCTTGAACTTCATAAGTTCAAAATATTTTAGCAGTCGAAGAAAAACTTGAGTCATTTGAACTAGTAAGAAAAATGTTACATTATGTATACACTATTAGAAGCCCATCAACTGCAGGAAGCCAGTAATACCTGGAATGCAGCAACAAAAAGTGAACCATCAGCAGAGAACTGCGACACGTAAGCCCTAGTTGACATCTGGTCCACAACCCAAGGACCGTTAACTGGCAAGTACTTACTGAGAATGTGACAACAATCTCCTGATGAGAACCTCCCTCTTCCCGAAAAATTTGCTTCTCGACCTGCCAACATTTTCATGGTTGAAACAGGAAGCTCACGCTTCCCTGGCAGGACTCGGCTCAAATTCTCATGGGGTCCTGATCTAAGCTTTGTGAGCTGAGCAATTTCATGACCCAAACAACCCGATGGACTTTTGGACTGAGAACTACCCTTAACTTCATTATTAGAACTCGAACCATCAAGAAGTCCGGAATCTATCTCCAATTTGCTAAAAGAATATCCCATACCGTTAATGGCAGCATGCCCCGTGAAAAATTGCATTTTATATCATAATCACTACAGGAAATTGCCCAGATACAAGCATAAGGCACAATTAACCCTTTTTATCATCCCCAGTCGGATTTAACCCAGACAAACCTGCAAAAATATGTCAATTCAACCCTTCAAACATATCGTTATCAAATAATGAGTGCGAGCGTTAAAAATAAGTATAATAAAACTAGATACTCTGTTTAGTTTGAGTAGACATCGGCAAGAAATTGTATTTAAATAATCATTTTATTAAAGGTATAATGTACTTTGAGGCGTTAAATAGATACAACTTATAAAATTAAGATGCAAATTCTTCCAAAATTAGCTCAATTTTGGTACTATAAGTTACTATATATCAAGAGAGTTATCCAAGGCTACAATATAGTTCAGTTGGTTGACCAGAATCACTAGGTTTTACACGAATAAGAACCACTGAAGGTACAAAAGAATATGCAAGGCTACAATATAGTTCAGTTGGTTGGCCAGAAACACTAGATTTGACAGGAATAAGGACCACTGAAGGTACTAAAGAATATGCAAGGCTACAATATAGTTCAGTTGGTTGGCCAGAAACACTAGATTTGACAGGAATAAGGACCACTGAAGGTACTAAAGAATATGCAAGGCTACAATATAGTTCAGTTGGTTGACCAGAATCACTGGATATCAGCTAAACCCTTTATCATTTGTTTCTAAAATTCAAGAAAGTAATTCTTATTTCCAATAAATACAAAATTATAGTAGGAAACTTTTTTTTTTTTTTAAATGTAAATTACAAAAATTGCTTAATTGAAGTAAATGAAATACAATAATCATGAAATTAAGCCATGAATTCTTATAAAATTAGCTCAATTCTGGGAGTATTAGTAGTTGCTATATATTCCAATACCTCAATATAATTCAATTGGGTTGACCAAAACCAATGGGTTCCAGATAAACCCCATCCCATTTGTTTCAAGAATTTAAAAATAAATAAATAATAATAATCTTGTTTCCTGCAACCCCAAAAGCAGTGTAAATTTTCATTTTCTGAACAACAAAGCTGTACAACGATTGCTAAATTATGGTAGATGAGAAACAATAATCAGATTATAATCATATTGCTTGAACTGTAAGTGTAGTGACAAAATGAGCGAAAAGATTAGGAGTGAACAGATTCACTCACCTTGAGCCTTTTCTTTGTGTTGTGCGATGATGTCGACGAACGGATATGAAATATGATAATGTGAATTTTTGGATTTGTTTACTTATTTTTGGGATTTTGATTGCTGGGTTCTTACGTAAAATAATAACTGGATAAATATTTTCTGTGGTTTTGATAGAGGTGGTTGTTGGAGGGAGTTTGATGGTGCAGTAGAGTGCGTGATGGAATTTGCAGCTTGACGTGGAAGCATGGAGCCAACGTGGTGGCTCGCGGTTCATTCCTATTCCAGTCGTATGTCTTGAATTTTGAATAATATTTATGTTCATATATGCACAATAACTCATTAGATTAGGAAAATATAATTCATTTTTTATAGAAATGATATGGATTGACTTCCTGCACATCAATTCTAACAACTAATGAACTAATGGAAGAACGATTGAGTTGACATTTATTAAATTTAATATTTATTTTCATTAAAATTAAATAAAAATATATTGTTCTAAATTCATCTACTAATATTTATTTCCATCAAATTCTCTTGAACCTTTTTTATATTCTTTTAAAATTTATGTTATACTAAAATTCTAATAATAATAAAATATCATCTTCAACTAAAATAAAAAATAACAATGGAAGGATCATCGTTAGAAGAAATACATGAAGACATAGCAATATATGAAGAAGGATTTGAAAAAATAAGGATTATGTGAATTTGATATTTTGAGTATTACAATTAGAGAAAATACATAAAGATAAATTTCGTTATTATAATTTTTTTTTTTTCCATTTTTCTTGAAAGAACAAAATTGTGTTAGAAGATGGGAGTCTTGCCCCACCATTAATGGCCTTTAGCTCTACACAGAAGTATTGCCTTCTCAGTTACTTTACATTAATGTTTGGGTGAATATAGTGATTTTTTAAAGTTTTGAAATTGTATTCGGGATATATTTAGAGTGGGAGGAATATATAAAGTTAGTGTAGATCTACAGTGTTTGACATTATTGAAATTTAACGTGGAAGAAAATAATATTTTTTTAAAATTTTAATATTTTATAAAGCAAGATGAATATATAAAAATTGTGAATGTAATTAACGGCATCCTATACTTTTCTCTTTTTCTCTTCAATCACAAATTTTTTAATAAAATAATATTACATATAAATCCATAACTTTTTCATCTTTTTTAACCATGACTTTTCTCAAAAATTACTATTTCAAAATACAATTTTTACAAAAATGCTGAATCGAGAGAGGAAAATCAAGTGGATCCTAGCTGCCGCTAATAGGGGTTAATAATCCAAATGGTTATTGAACTTTGCAAAAAGCTCTCATCGGGTCACTGAACTTTAATAATTACCCAAGTATGAACTTTGCAAAAGGTTTACACGGAGTCACTAAATTTCAAAAATCATTTCATTCATCAATAAACTTGTCAAAAAATTTCACCTCTGGGAAAGTTTTTGCAAAGTTCCGTAATGAATAAGATAATTTTTAAAGTTCAGTGGTTCCGTGGAAACCTTTTGCAAAGTTCAGTGATCCTGTGAAAATATTTTGCAAAGTTCAATGATAACTTAGATGATTTTTAAAATTCAATGATCCAGTGAAAACTTTTTGTAAAGTTCAATGACCATTTGGGTTATTAACTCGCCGCTTAATACCAAGCTAAACAAAATTAAAAGGTACAGTTCTCTTTAATCCTACCTCGAAGCCTGCTCTCTATCCCGACTTGGGGACAAGGACGCCACATGGTGCCCCTGTCTTCAACTTTGTCCCGGCTATCCCCAAGCCGGGACATGGGGTTTTATCCTCCTACCTTTTATTAGATGCTTCTTCCTTTTGACCTCGATAATTGATTATATGGGTGGTTCCAAGACTTCGTTGCTGATGAATGAAAGTCGAGGCCACTGTTTGTCCCCTATCATAGCTCCTGCAGGAATAGTAGGACAACGTTTTGTGCTTTTGAGTTTCTTTCTTTTTATCTTAAAAAATGCAATTGATGGTTGGAACTTGGGGAGTTCTTCACCAGAGTCATCAAGTAGTAATTTTTTTTCTTGATTAAACAAAATTATAGTAAAATATCTCTCGGTATTTAATGGAGCGATTGTGTTGCATTTATGTACACATGATGTGGTAAGATATGATTAGATCAGAATTTCTTCATATAAAAAAAATACTACTTCACTCGGTGATTAAAAGGAACTCAAAGAGGAATTTTATAGCTACTATACTCAAAGAGGATGAGATGTATACTACATCACAAGATAAAGTTGCTACGGATTTGTAAAATTTTACACTACTTTGCTGGGAAAAAACTGCCCAACTCGGCCTATTAACATGAAAATTGTTACAAACGATCCTTTGGTTACATTAGAACAAGGTAACTCTTTGATTCGGGACATTTATTATGAGGAGATCAAAGAAGCATTTTTTGATATTGGAGACGATAAGTCTCCTGGACCGGATGGTTATACTTCTTGTTTTTTCAAGAATGCATGGGGACTATTGGTAATGACTTTGTTGGAGCTATCATGGAGTTCTTCTCTTCGGGTTCCATCCTCAAACAAATCAATCACACGGTCATTGCTTTTGTGCCTAAATCTGGTCACACACCGCATGTTGGGGATTTTAGGCCTATCTCTTGTTGTAATGTTACTTACAAACTGAGAGCAAAAATTCTTGCTTTTAGTCTGAGACCTATTTTGGATAATATTGTGGATCATGCACAAGCCACTTTTGTGGAAGGTAGGAGTATGACGGAGAACATTCATCTTGTCCAAGAACTCATGAGGCAATACAATAGGAAAAGGTTTGCTCCAAGATGTCTCCTAAAAGTTAATCTTACGAAAGTTTACGATTCGGTAAGTTGGAATTTTTTTAGAGATATTCTTGAAGGGTTGCATTTCCCCTTGAGATTTGTAAATTGGGTCATGGAATGTGTTACTTCTCCAACATATTCAGTAGCTTTGAATGGGAGTATGCATGGATTCTTCAAAGGAAGGAAAGGCCTCCGACAAGGTGATCTCCTTTCCCCATTTTTGTTCGTGCTTTGTATTGAATATTTTTCAAGAATACTTAAAGCTACCACGAATGATAGTGATTTCAATTATCACCTCAAATGTGGCCCCCTTAAGATCACCCATTTAGCTTTTGCGGATGATTTGATGCTCTTTGCTAGGGGTGATGTCATGTCCGTGAAATTTCTCATGAATTGCCTATCAAATTTTGGTTTGGTATCGGGTCTAAGGTTGAACATCCTCAAATCCAATTTGTATACGACGGGGATTCATGGAAACTACTTGAGGATATCTTGCAACTCACAAATATCCCAAGGGGTAGTATGCCATTTCGGTATTTGGGCATTCCACTCACTCCGCAAAAACTTACAGTAAGTTGTTATACCCCCTTTCTCGACAAAATTACAACTTATATTGGTGCATGGAATCACTCTTTATTATCTTATGCGTGTTGGGAATCTACTTATACATGCACAGCGGAAAATTAAATTATTTCGATTCCCACCCAATAGACCTCATTGTGTTTGGTTAGGAATTGTTGTACCTTTTCCAGATCTGCAATCTTTTTGCTTTTCTTTTCGTTCCACAACTTTAATTCGCCACCACAGCTGTCCAATTGTCCAGCCTCCAACGGTGATCCACACAGAGAAAATGATTGCAGCCTCTAGGGTTTTCTCTTGTGCTAGCAAGAATAATGAAAACCTTAATGGACCTCAAACCCTAGTTATGTATTTATATAAACCCAAATAGGCTCGGCCCGGTCCGGCCCAATAATTAATTAATCCAATTAATTAAACCCGGTCCGTGAATTAATTAATCCAATTAATTAATTCAAAAATATAAATAACAAATCCAATTAATTAATTTATCCAACGATAGTTAAATTAATCAATTGGTAATTTACAATCTTCCAATTCTCTTTTGTGTGTGACCCATTAGGTTCCCGACCACGATGCCTAACGACGTGAAATATTATTTTGATCTAATCAAAATTGATAAATTAAAACACCCCTTTTAATTTATCGTCAATTCACATTCGCCGTCCCTGATTGACATCTAGCAATGTGTCAGGGCAATACATGTGACGGGAAATGTCACGTGGTATGACAAAACCAAATTCGTTCGTTTACCGTGAAACTATAATCCCTTCGTCAATATGATCCGATCAATTACGAGATATGGAATTGTGTCAATCTCGATCATCGATCATATCTTTCACTCCACTATTAAGTCAATATAAATCGAAAACTCCTTTTCGACTTATGAGTACACCTTGGCCAAGGATTTCATCATTGACTTAATTGAATGAAACGTAGATCATAATCTCCTACTATCTAAGAGTGACGAATCCTTTATTGATCAATCACAACCTTCATACGATTATTGACGTACCCGAACGATGTCGTATTAGCGGCCCTTTTCAGAGCAACATCCAACACCGCCAAAGTATGACTGTCCTCATATAAGGTACCATGACGACCTCAAGTCAAAAGGACCAATTCCACTACCGAACGCTAGAGATTAACCACTGACACTCAGATAGTTATCCATGTGGAATCTCTCGACGGGTCTCCAATGTTTTGTTCTATAACAAACATCCACGTGTTCATTTAAGTGTCACCACACTTCTGTAATCCCATTCATAATTCCTGTATCCTTGATAGCTGTAAAAAGAGAAAACGAAAGCCTTTATTCTGCTTTTCCTAGATTTCTTGAGTAATTAGTGAACCAATGATTTAGACATCAATTTTACTATATTGTGCATGGACTTGCTCCTCAAGTCTCTAGAACGGACATGTACATGTCTACTTAAAGGGTAAATATGATTGATTTCGGAGAGGATGTAATATCAAAACATTTGAGCGGTAAAGAAGGATATGAAATTATAACTAATAGGTGCACGTCACGATATTCATGACGTTATAAGACCACCATTTTGGAACAATTTGGAGGTCTTATCTTGGTTTAGTAATTTTTCAAATAGCTTGTCTATATTTCTGTGTCCAATGTCAGAATCCTTCTTTGAACCAAACTCCTGGTAATAAAATTTCACAATGCAGTGACCAAGACTTAGATCCATATCCATAACTGTTCCACGTGCTCTTAAAGTATATCCATTTCTATGTTCTTGAGTGCCATGTCTTGTTCAAGTATGGAATCCTAACAGAACGGTAGGATTAACATGGATATTTACCCTCCCTAAATAATTAGCCAATTCTTATGCCACATCCTTACTAACATCATATACTTGTAACAACTCGGCAGAGAGCGAAACTCTAACGAACCAACTAAATAATTACAACTGTAACATCCATGGAAGGAAAATTCAAGGGAGACAATGGAGAGGCTGAACGTGGTTTACCAATTAGTATTGGATGACATTTTCCTTATATCCCAGAGTTTGATCACCTGATCTTTACCATTGGAAATAAAATAACGACCATCTCCACGACTATCAAGAAATGTAACACCCTCGAGGTGGCCCATTAGGACCCCTGCTGGCTTGCCTTTGACTTTGAAGCAGCGTCTGTCCCAAACCTATGTAGAACAAGAAGTTACGTCGCATTATTAAATTAGAACAAATAAAAGAGAACTTAACTTCCCTATTGCCTCCAAAGTGGCAAAATTGTCTTATTTAAGTTCTAGTTGAATCCTTTGCCATAGACCAATACCGTACTTCACAATGTTATACATCACTTTTCACCATCCAAATCGTAAAAGCCCCATTAAGTTTCTGTTCTCCTCGGTTATGTTAAATTTAAGAAAAAACACTCATTTAAAGATGTGAATTTCATAAAAGAAAGAAAATCCTTGAATATTCATAGCAGAATTGTGTAGATGGAAAAATAACTTGATGTTCCAGACACCACAACATCTAAATAACAAAACAGAACAGGAAGATAAAAGGAGAAATAATGAAAGCAGGAGGATTCCGGCTTTGTTCTTGGCTTTTAAGAAGCTGAAAATTCTTTACACTCACAATGCCACATTACTGTTAAGTACCTTGTGCTGAAGCACGAGGAACCTCCAATAAATTTAAGAGCTCTAAATTAACTGCTTTGAATTTCAAAATTTCTAAGAGGGCTAACAGAAGTTATAACAACTCATCTAAGCAACTAAAATTTGATTAACATTTGGTCATTGAGGAATATTTACAAATACAATATTTAGATAACAATAACGATTCTAATGGACACAAGCCAACACAATATTTATCTCCATGATAAAATATAAAGATGAATGTGGGAGAAATAAACAGATGAGCAACATTTGTTTTGCCTGGATTGTCAAGCATGGGTTATTCATATTTAAAGAAACTTTGATTACAAGTAATAGACAGTTCACAGGTAATGACTTCCAATACATTCTGTGCTTTCACAAACTAATTGGTTAAATTTTGTTGTTGAAGAATAAATTTAAATAAATAAGTGGGCCCTCTAACATCACATCTCAATCATTTAGACGAAGTGGTTAAACATGGTATTAGAGTGGTAGAAGTCATGAATTCGAGGGCAAGTGCTGCCACCCATTTATGAAAATTTTGTACATGTCGGACCTTTGATGAAATTCAGCTTTCACGTGAGGGAGTGTGACAAAGACTAAATTTAAATAAATAAATGTGTCCCCTTATTTAACCATTTAAACTTTTAGATGAGATGGTTCGATAATATCTACCAACAAATTTGCCCACGCTAAGAAGAGCTCGTAATTTAAAGATTCAGTACGGATTGAGTTGCATAAGTAATTACCTTGCAGAAATTGTCGTCGCTACCAGAATAAATAAGATGACCACCTTCATCGGCAAAACATACCGTGTTGACATCAGACTGAATCAGGAAGAAAATACATCTGGTCAACTGTCTATATAAACTTTCAGGAAAAGTAAAGAATATATAATAGCTAAACCCGAACAAATTCAACAATCTTTTTAAAAAATTACTTTTAGGTTCTGAGATTGAATTCTTCAAAAAATAAACACAGCAAGATATCACATGCGAAACAAGAATCAGGCTTCACAAAGCAGGTTGCACACTAATTCATTAGATTGGTATCAGTATTGATGTCTTAGGGAGTAATATAATCATGGGACTTATTTGCAGGAATATCGCTATTTTGTACAACTGGGCAAAGTCAACATTTTCCTTTTTCAGACAACCTTTTTTTCACAAACGTCATATAGTCCAGTTATTCTTAAAACACATCTGACTTCCCATATGCCGCCCACTTTAGGATGAGCAAGCAAAACAACTTCACTCTATACTCAATAAAAATGTCGTCCATCGAGCGGTCAAGTTCGAGCAAATTCAATGGTTGAAGGAAACTCTTAGTTTTTCGCACAAGGGCATTGAATGCCAAAAACTTTTTGTTTCAGCCCATAATAAAAGCTCATCCTCTTCACAGAGTGATGTACAAATTAAAGTGTCCGTTCCTCTATGTGCTACTAGCAATTATCTTACTCAACAGCCGGAAAACATAAAAGAAGATAGAAGATGTATGTTAATGCCAATTCTACCATGTGCGCTTGAATCCTGAGAGAGAGTTTATTTGCTTCAAGATCATAAACATACAGGGCATCATCACTACTTCCTGCTACAATTTCTCGACCATCAGTTGAGAATTTCAAGGAGAAGATTCCAAAAGAATACCCCCCATCGTCGGCAGCAGAGAAATCCAAACCATCATGGATTTCCTGCACAATAAACAAGCCACCATTGAAAAATCACTAAACAAAGATATATTCAAGTCTTAAATCAGAAGTGCAACACTGAAAGTCCAAATGGACTGAAATATATGTCTTGTCTACTTATTTAGTATAATAAAACATATTTATTAACCATAACAACAGTAGCTTCTCAAATACCAAACAAAATAGAACTTGGACTTCGTACTGTGATGTTTGCAAGAGATTCTGTTGTAGTAGATCCAACATTAACAACATTAACAATAGGTGACATGGTAGCATAGACCTGCAACCACAACATAAAGTTTGACAAATAAGATCATAATTACAAAAACTGGATTTGCACTTTAGGAAAACAAAACAGAAATAATATAACAATCAAGATACTATAATAATTGAGTTACAAAATTCTACAGCATCCGTTACTACTGGCGGTCTATGACTCCAGTAGACAGAAAGCAAACTTCAACTTCATCCAAGAAATTCAACCAATTACTACCAATGTACTTTATATGTGCACTGAGAATTTGATTGGCTCGCACTTCAACTACATCCATCTTCTTATCCCGAGAGCTGTATACTTTTTTCTCGTTTATTTTTTCCTAATCTTACAGGACAGTGGAGTTTCATCCCAACATAGAAGTAAAATTGCACTAATATTATCTCTCTGAACTTTAAGATAATAAGCACCACAAGACACAGCTTGGATATCAGAGACAGAAAACATATAAAAGGTATGTAACCACCATGCGCACCTTGCAGCTGCACTTTTCCAATTATGTCATATCGTGATTGAGTATGACATATATAAAAGGCACAAATTCAAATAAAACAATTCACACACTTTTCAAATCAGCTACCATGAGAAGAGGTTCACATTCAGCACCATCTCATACAGAGGAAATAGCATGAGAACTCACAAGATATTGTTGATTTGGTGAAAGAGACGTGTCAGTAACTGTCCATCTCAAGCTTCTGGCAAGAATGTTCTTCTGAACTTTCCACCCCCTATCCACATCATATATTCTGATGTGGCTTCCCTGTTTTAAAAGAACCAATAGGGTTCCAAGTTAAATAATTCATCATTTGGAAGCAATAAAAGCATGAAAGCACATTCAACTAGAGAAATCACAAATAATTCACTCAATTAAAGTGGATATTTCTTGAACTTCATAAGTTCAAAATATTTTAGCAGTCGAAGAAAAACTTGAGTCATTTGAACTAGTAAGAAAAATGTTACATTATGTATACACTATTAGAAGCCCATCAACTGCAGGAAGCCAGTAATACCTGGAATGCAGCAACAAAAAGTGAACCATCAGCAGAGAACTGCGACACGTAAGCCCTAGTTGACATCTGGTCCACAACCCAAGGACCGTTAACTGGCAAGTACTTACTGAGAATGTGACAACAATCTCCTGATGAGAACCTCCCTCTTCCCGAAAAATTTGCTTCTCGACCTGCCAACATTTTCATGGTTGAAACAGGAAGCTCACGCTTCCCTGGCAGGACTCGGCTCAAATTCTCATGGGGTCCTGATCTAAGCTTTGTGAGCTGAGCAATTTCATGACCCAAACAACCCGATGGACTTTTGGACTGAGAACTACCCTTAACTTCATTATTAGAACTCGAACCATCAAGAAGTCCGGAATCTATCTCCAATTTGCTAAAAGAATATCCCATACCGTTAATGGCAGCATGCCCCGTGAAAAATTGCATTTTATATCATAATCACTACAGGAAATTGCCCAGATACAAGCATAAGGCACAATTAACCCTTTTTATCATCCCCAGTCGGATTTAACCCAGACAAACCTGCAAAAATATGTCAATTCAACCCTTCAAACATATCGTTATCAAATAATGAGCGCGAGCATTAAAAATAAGTATAATAAAACTAGATACTCTGTTTAGTTTGAGTAGACGTCGGCAAGAAATTGTATTTAAATAATCATTTTATTAAAGGTATAATGTACTTTGAGGCGTTAAATAGATACAACTTATAAAATTAAGAGGCAAATTCTTCCAAAATTAGCTCAATTTTGGTACTATAAGTTACTATATATCAAGAGAGTTATCCAAGGCTACAATATAGTTCAGTTGGTTGACCAGAATCACTAGGTTTTACACGAATAAGAACCACTGAAGGTACAAAAGAATATGCAAGGCTACAATATAGTTCAGTTGGTTGGCCAGAAACACTAGATTTGACAGGAATAAGGACCACTGAAGGTACTAAAGAATATGCAAGGCTACAATATAGTTCAGTTGGTTGGCCAGAAACACTAGATTTGACAGGAATAAGGACCACTGAAGGTACTAAAGAATATGCGAGGCTACAATATAGTTCAGTTGGTTGATCAGAATCACTGGATATCAGCTAAACCCTTTATCATTTGTTTCTAAAATTCAAGAAAGTAATTCTTATTTCCAATAAATATAAAATTATAGTAGGAAACTTTTTTTTTTTTTTAAATGTAAATTACAAAAATTGCTTAATTGAAGTAAATGAAATACAATAATCATGAAATTAAGCCATGAATTCTTATAAAATTAGCTCAATTCTGGGAGTATTAGTAGTTGCTATATATTCCAATACCTCAATATAATTCAATTGGGTTGACCAAAACCAATGGGTTCCAGATAAACCCCATCCCATTTGTTTCAAGAATTTAAAAATAAATAAATAATAATAATCTTGTTTCCTGCAACCCCAAAAGCAGTGTAAATTTTCATTTTCTGAACAACAAAGCTGTACAACGATTGCTAAATTATGGTAGATGAGAAACAATAATCAGATTATAATCATATTACTTGAACTGTAAGTGTAGTGACAAAATGAGCGAAAAGATTAGGAGTGAACAGATTCACTCACCTTGAGCCTTTTCTTTGTGTTGTGCGATGATGTCGACGAACGGATATGAAATATGATAATGTGAATTTTTGGATTTGTTTACTTATTTTTGGGATTTTGATTGCTGGGTTCTTACGTAAAATAATAACTGGATAAATATTTTCTGTGGTTTTGATAGAGGTGGTTGTTGGAGGGAGTTTGATGGTGCAGTAGAGTGCGTGATGGAATTTGCAGCTTGACGTGGAAGCATGGAGCCAACGTGGTGGCTCGCGGTTCATTCCTATTCCAGTCGTATGTCTTGAATTTTGAATAATATTTATGTTCATATATGCACAATAACTCATTAGATTAGGAAAATATAATTCATTTTTTATAGAAATGATATGGATTGACTTCCTGCACATCAATTCTAACAACTAATGAACTAATGGAAGAACGATTGAGTTGACATTTATTAAATTTAATATTTATTTTCATTAAAATTAAATAAAAATATATTGTTCTAAATTCATCTACTAATATTTATTTCCATCAAATTCTCTTGAACCTTTTTTATATTCTTTTAAAATTTATGTTATACTAAAATTCTAATAATAATAAAATATCATCTTCAACTAAAATAAAAAATAACAATGGAAGGATCATCGTTAGAAGAAATACATGAAGACATAGCAATATATGAAGAAGGATTTGAAAAAATAAGGATTATGTGAATTTGATATTTTGAGTATTACAATTAGAGAAAATACATAAAGATAAATTTCGTTATTATAATTTTTTTTTTTCCATTTTTCTTGAAAGAACAAAATTGTGTTAGAAGATGGGAGTCTTGCCCCACCATTAATGGCCTTTAGCTCTACACAGAAGTATTGCCTTCTCAGTTACTTTACATTAATGTTTGGGTGAATATAGTGATTTTTTAAAGTTTTGAAATTGTATTCGGGATATATTTAGAGTGGGAGGAATATATAAAGTTAGTGTCGATCTATAGTGTTTAAATGAATGAATTTAATGATGACATTATTGAAATTTGACGTGGAAGAAAATAATATTTTTTTAAAATTTTAATATTTTATAAAGCAAGATGAATATATAAAAATTGTGAATGTAATTAACGGCATCCTATACTTTTCTCTTTTTCTCTTCAATCACGGATTTTTTAATAAAATAATATTACATATAAATCCATAACTTTTTCATCTTTTTTAACCATGACTTTTTTCAAAAATTACTATTTCAGAATACAATTTTCACAAAAATGCTGAATCGAGAGAGGAAAATCAAGTGGATCCTAGCTGCCACTAATAGGGGTTAATAATCCAAATGGTTATTGAACTTTGCAAAAAACTCTCATCGGGCCACTGAACTTTAAAAATTACCCAAGTATGAACTTTGCAAAAGGTTTACACGAAGTCACTGAACTTCAGAAATCATTCCATTCATCACTAAACTTGTCAAAAAATTTCACCTCTGGGAAAGTTTTTGCAAAGTTCCGTAATGAATGAGATAATTTTTAAAGTTCAGTGATTCCGTGGAAACCTTTTACAAAGTTCAGTGATCCTGTGAAAATATTTTGCTAAGTTCAATGATAACTTAGATGATTTTTAAAGTTCAATGATTCAATGGAAACTTTTTTGTAAAGTTCAATGACCATTTGGGTTATTAACTCGCCGCTTAATACCAAGCTAAACAAATTTAAAAGGTACAGTTTTATTTAATCCTACCTCAAAGCTTGCTCTCTATCCCGACTTGGGGACAGGGTCAGGGACAAGGACGTCACATGGTGCCCCTGTCTTCAACTCTGTCCCGACTGTCCCCAAGTCGGGACAGGGGGTTTTATCCTCCTACCTTTTATTAGATGCTTCTTACTTTTGACCTCGATAATTGATTATATGGGTGGTTCCAAGACTTCGTTGTTGAATGAAAGTCGAGGCCACTGTTTGTCCCCTATCATAGCTCCTGCAGGAATAGTAGGACAACGTTTTGTGCTTTTGAGTTTCTTTCTTTTTATCTTAAAAAACGCAATTGATGGTTGGAACTTGGGGAGTTCTTCACCAGAGTCATCAAGTAGTATTTTTTTTTCTTGATTAAACAAAATTATAGTAAAATATCTCTCAGTATTTAATGGAGCGATTGTGCTGCATTTATGTATACATGATGTGATAAAATATGATTAGATCAGAATTTCTTCATCTAAAAAAAAGTGCTACTTCTCCATTCTCTTTTTGACATATCATCTATACGTATATCATTATATAACTGCATTATGTACAATTAAATGTACAAAGTTTTTTCACTCAGTGATTAAAAGGAACTCAAAGAGGAATTTTATAGCTACTATACTCAAAGAGGATGAGATGTATACTACATCACAAGATAAAGTTGCTACGGATTTGTAAAATTTTACACTATTTTGCTGGGAAAAAACTGCCCAACTCGACCTATTAACATGAAAATTGTTACAAACGATCCTTTGGTTACATTGGAACAAGGTAACTCTTTGATTCGGAACATTTATTATGAGGAGATCAAAGAAGCACTTTTTAATATTGGAGACAATAAGTCTCCTAGACCGGATGGTTATACTTCTTGTTTTTTCAAGAATGCATGGGGACTATTGGTGATGACTTTGTTGGAGCTATCATCGAGTTCTTCTCTCTTCTCTTCGGGTTCCATCCTCAAACAAATCAATCACACGGTCATTGCTTTTGTGCCTAAATCTAGTCACACGCCGCATGTTGGGGATTTTAGGCCTATCTCTTGTTGTAATGTTACCTACAAACTGAGAGCAAAAATTCTTGCTTTTAGTCTGAGACCTATTTTGGATAATATTGTGGATCATGCACAAGCCACTTTTGTGGAAGGTAGGAGTATGACGGAGAACATTCATCTTGTCCAAGAACTCATGAGGCAATACAATAGGAAAAAGGTTGCTCCAAGATGTCTCCTAAAAGTTAATCTTACGAAAGTTTACGATTTGGTAAGTTGGGATTTTTTCAGAGATGTTCTTGAAGGGTTGCATTTCCCCTTGAGATTTGTAAATTGGGTCATGGAATGTGTTACTTCTCCAACATATTCCGTAGCTTTGAATGGGAGTATGCATGGATTCTTCAAAGGAAAGAAAGGCCTCCGACAAGGTGATCTCCTTTCCCCCTTTTTGTTTGTGCTTTGTATTGAATATTTTTCAAGAATGCTTAAAGCTACCACGAATGATAGTGATTTCAATTATCACCTCAAATGTGGCCCCCTTAAGATCACCCATTTAGCTTTTGCGGATAATTTGATGCTCTTTGTTAGGGGAGATGTCATGTCATTGAAAATTCTCATGAATTGCCTATCAAATTTTGGTTTGGTATCGGGTCTAAGGTTGAACATCCTCAAATCCAATTTGTATACGGAGGGGATTCATGGAAACTACTTGAGGATATCTTGCAACTCACAAATATCCCGAGGGGTAGTATGCCATTTCGGTATTTGGGCATTCCACTCACTCCGCAAAAACTTACAGTAAGTTGTTATACCCCCTTTCTTGACAAAATTACAACTTATATTGGTGCATGAAATTGCTCTTTATTATCTTATGCGAGCAAGGTCGAACTTATAAGGGCGGTTCTTCAAGGAGGTGAATGTTTATTGCTTCAATTTTCCCCATCCTGACTACAATTATATCAAGGATTGTTAGCCTTTGTCGAAAATTTCTTTGGGGATCTAAGAAGCCTTTAGTTGCGTGGAAGGATTTTTGCCTTCCAAAAGATGAAGAGGGCCTCAGTTTAAAGGAATTGAAGAGTTGGAATTTAGCGTTACTTGCTAGTAACGCTAAATTCCTTTGGAATATACAACATAAAAAGGACACACTATGGATTCATTGGGTTCACCAAGTGTATCTTAAAGGGGTTTCCATTTGGAGGTTCGACCGAGAAAAGATCACCTCCACTATTTAAAAAATTGCTGTAAATTAGAAATATATTGCTTCATAAGCTTGCTGGTCCCCAGTTTCCTACACAGGACAGGGGGAGTAATCTGGATAGATTTTTGAATCTACCGAATGCTCAAAACAGGGGGCCGAATCTGGTAAAAACATCTGAAATTTTGGACAGTTTACACAGTCCAGCAAATGAACAGAACAGGGAGCCGATTCCAGGAAAAAGTGCAATCCGACGACAGGAAAATCTGGACAGTTTTTTGGGTTTTCAGACTGCTCAAAACGAGGACCGAATGCTGGGAATTCTAGACAATTTTTTCGATGGGGAAACGGGCCCTAAATTCAGCACAAAAAAGGCATATGATTTCTTCAGGCCGAAGGTATAAAGAAAACTTGGGCAACCGACGTTTGGAAGCCTTGCATTGCTCCGAAACACTCCTTTTTGCTTTGGTTAGGGGTCCGATCAAAACTCCTAACTAAAGACAAACTACATTTCTTGAATATTGATCGTAAGTGTGATTTTTGTGGACATATGGAGGAAACAGTTCGTCACTTATTCTTTGAATGTCCTCTCACTTCGACTGTATGGGGAAATATTTGACATTGGCTTGGCATCAAAAGATCTATGTCAACACTTGCTAGCTCTCTCAAGTGGATGAAGAAAGAGGCTCGTGGGATATCATGATGAAGCAAGGTTAAGAGGATTGCTCTTGCTAGCACTTTCTACTACCTTTGGTTAACACGCAATAGGAAGATTTTTGAAGACCTTTCACCTAACGTAGATTGCATTGTGAGACAGATCAAGACACACGTATACAAAAACATGTACTCTTTGTATCCGGATGTCTTGATCCATTTCGAGTCCTTAGCATTTGGTCTTTGACTTTTTATGCACTCCATTTTTTCTTGTTTATCTCGGGTATGCCTAGAGTAATTGTTTGTGTAATTGGCTTTTGATTTGCCCGGGAATGTCCAGTGTATATGTATATGGAACATTTTTTTATCAATGATATTTACATTTACCGATAAAAAAATTAAAAATTATTCTTAATGGAGATGTATTTTGCCGTATTGTATTTATTTTGTAAACCTATAAGCGTTCCAGGTGTGGTAGACCCCAAATGCAATGCAATCCAAGGTTTCATTCTATATGTTTATCTATTTGATTATTATGGGTTGAGGAACTAGGAATGAAATTTTAATCAGGGCGCCGCAGAACTTTAAAGGGTTGTCAAAGTTAGTGGTGAATCTAGGACTTCGACTCAGTTAGAGCGGCCATTGATCGTTGGCCGTTGTTTGTCGATAATTAATGACCGTATAGCGATATCGTTTATTAATATTAAATTAAATAATATTAAAAATTCTTCGATCTATATGTAAATATACTAAAACGTAAAAATCGTATATTTATACCATATTATATTTCCATACAATCCGAAATAATATAAATTACATGATATATAAGACTTATTTGTGTTATCAATACTTAACAAATCGTTTGCTTGGCTAAAAGTGGTTGAGAGATTAGATACACCACTACAAAAACTAGATTAAAATTTAGTTGAAAAAATCATTCCATAATTAGTATGAGAATTGAACGTTAATCAAAGATTAAATGTAATTAAAAGTAATTTTAAAATATAATTAAAGTTTCAGTTTTCAATTCTCAACACCAATTCATCACAAATTATAAATTCCCCAATTTCTCATTTTCAATTTTCATGAATCAAATATTCATATTTCACGATACTCAAATTAATTTTTTATATCACAATTCACAATAGACAAATTCTCAAATAGCATATAAATCAAAACTCAATACTCATAAGTCATATCTTATAAATTATTAAAACATAAAATATTTAAAAAGAAAAAAAAATATTTTGTAAAGTCTTAACATATATTATTTTGTTAAATTTAGATTTAAAATTCAACCATTACCATAATGGTTAAGCTTCCAATTATCCTAATTCTAGAAGTTATTGGTTCGAATCCTTTCCTTAGGAAATTAATTTTGGTAAATATTGTAAAAATAAAAATTTTACACAGTGAAATGGAGGGGAAGGAATCGAACTCAAGACTCACAATAGGCAGAAGAGAGGATTGAAAATAAAATAAACTACCAATTATATTACCAACAAAAAAAAAAAAAAAATTCTCCCCGACGAATCCAGTTAGGACGGCTGCCGTAGTTGGCCACATACTAGATCCGCCCCTGGTCACAGGAATTATATTTTATGGAGAGTTCAGGAATTAGAATTGCAATTTTAGTCACGGTGATTAGCTTCAATTTTCCATTAAAATATGTATCACTCGAATTAACAATGCACCTATTTGATCTTTATCTTTATTCTTACACTCCTCACCACATCAAGGAAATATTGAGCATATCTTTCAAAGCTTAAAAGTTACTTAGAGAAAGTATATTTTACTAATTGCAAATCTGATTTTGAAATTACGTTTGGATGGCAAATTTTAGCAAATACTTTTTGTGTTTACCAATAGTTGTTTTTATACTCGAAATTATTTGTGGAAATACAAAACCCGTAATTTTATAATAAAATTTTCTAATCAAAGTATTTTGATTAATAATATTAAAAGTGGCGTTCGGTCGTCGATAAGAATGAAAGTGTGAACAGGCAATCTCATCAATAGAGATTCATCCTAACAGGTGAGATGCCGACAAACAGTTTTATTTAACATAATCTTGTCTTTAAGCAAATACAATTAATTAATTATGACAGTGACTTCATCTTGTCGTGCTTATTCAAGCCCTAAACCAGCTCATCCAATTAAAGGCAAATCATAATAAGACATAACAAAGAGATAATTATTATAATTAGGAAACAAATTCTAGGCAAAGGCATAGAAAGTCAATTGAAACGTTTTTTTAATTTTATTTTATGTATTTTGTCCGAACTTAGCTGTTTTTACCATTTAGTGACACTATTAAAACACTAGTAAAAGCAATCCCAACAACAAGAAATTAAAAGAGTTTTTTTTTTTTTATTATTAAAACTGGTCCCTTTCGAGTCCATGTACATCCAAAATTGCCAACCACTACTGGAAGAGTTTGCTTTTCAATCATAAAAACAAAAGCAAGCAATCATAAAAATAAAAGCAATATTTGATACGTAATATCGAACATGACTCGATAAATAATATTGATATCATAAGAATTGGATCAAACTGCCTGACACAACCAGAAAAACAAGAATCGAATTTACTATAAGTTAAAAATGAAAATTTAAACACTAAATAAATTTTTTTTTCTTTATTCGCTGCAATTTCAAACAATGATTAGAGAAGAGTGCTTAAGAAGACGAACTACGGGAAGGGTGTGACTATGGAGTGAGATTATTTTTTTTAAATTACAAATTCAACTATTTTACTGTTAATTATTTATATTTTTTGTGTCAACATCCAAAGTATCGAGATAGATGTATTTTTCGTCCCAATTTAAACTACTATGTTTTTCTTCGTTAATGTTGTTTAGTACAACATAGTCCAACTTACCCACCGTGTTGAAAACGTAGAAAGTGTTAGTTCCCATTTACCCCAACCCCACATACTTGATGTACCATCTAGAACAGGCAATCAAGGGATGCAAGGAATTAATCAAATCAACATCGATAGATTGGGAGATCAGTTAGGACTCATGTCTAATCATATGTTTCTTTTGCAAGATTGTCTTTTGGTGGACGGGGTTTGGTTTTGGCCTTGGGGTCACAACGGGGTTCAATGGTCCACCACTTTAGAGAGAACAAAACAAAATGTGTGCTTGTTGCCTTTATGGAGGTAAATTTTAGGAATTAGTTATCCATGCCGAATCAAAGTGGTACCTCGAGAATAAGTATCGATTAAACAAAAAAGACATTCACGTCGCGGACTTAATGAAAGAAAAGTATTTAATGAATTTCTATTGTCTCTAAGAGATTAAACTCTTATACGACATGGTTCGAGTCGGCTCTCATTTCGGCTCCAGTAATTACAAAATCATGATGTTCAATTAGCATAAAACTAGAACAAAATCATAAACATACAAAATTTTTATATATTTCTTGAGCACAAGTATAAAATACAAAGTTCACAACATCCTGGATTTCCTAATCCATGTTCCAAATTAGCATTTATAGCAGTAGCCTAATGGAGACAAACCAGTTCAAGATTACCAGAAATCTGATGTGGTAAGCTCCGTATGTAGTTCTGCAAAATCTATAAATAAGTTATAAATGCTGAGGCACCACAATAAATGATCTTGTGATATATATGTGTGATATGGATCGGCTTCTCAACCGAAGAAGACGAAAAAACAGACTTCATGACCCAAGACGATGAAAGCAATCAGTACCCGGGACTTGCAAAAATCTCGTATCACCACCCTGAATGACAAGTTAATCACAGCATGAAGGAGTGAAATCTACACAATCATATAACTACACACCATTACTGCCGAATGTAAAATGTCAAACTTCTGTTATACATGGTGCCTGTAATCGAAGTTCAGAAGAGTATTAACAGTTAGAATGGACGAACTCTCGAATCTCGTCCATGAGGCAACGGAAATGGTCGTTATTGGGCAAGAAGTAAAAACCGATCGTTGCCTGTTTGAGATAAAGAAGCTTCACTTCTCTGCCGGATTCTTTTAGCCCTTCGACATAAGCCAATTGCCAATCCTGAACAAGATCCAGCCCAACCACAACCACGAGGCTCTTAGGAAAGTTAAGTCCATCGAGTCTTTTACCCCTAGGGCCGAATATATTGCACGCCGGATGGTCTCTATCTTCCCCTTCGGGTAAATATGCTCTCCAATACCAATCTCTGTCTTGAACTGTTACAAAGTATTTCCCATCCAATCTTTTCTCCGATTCAGTTCTCTTTTCCCCGCCAAACATTGGATGAAGGAGGATATTACCCAATACATCCACGCCCTCGGTTGCTGCCCGAACAGCTACATGGTGAGCGATATTACCACCCGAGCTGTCACCAGCCAAATATACATGAACCTTTGAATCCTTCCCACTCCTTAACCACGACCTCGACTGAACCCACTTAAGAGCAGCCCATCCGTCATCATATGCACACGGGTACCGGTGTTCAGGTGATCGACGATAATTCACAGATACAACGGCAACATTGCAAATGCTAACGAGCCTACGACAAAATGTATCATATATGGCACTATTGGCTGAGGAATGAGTAAAGCTTCCACCGTGGTAGTATATAATCACAGGAACAATTTCCCTAGTATTTAGGGGATTTTCAAGATCTATGGTCCCCCATTGAGCTTTGTTTTCTGGGGCAGGCAAGTAAATCCGGTTAAGGAGGCTTGTGGCACTATCCACAACATCAAAAGAGTATACCCCGTCTACCGGAATCACATTTGCGGGGACTTTCCGATCAAGGTACTCGGCCAAATCCCGGTTAAAGGTTCCATCCGGACGACGAAGCATATTATAGGCAAGCTTGAAATTGGATATGAGGATCCATGTATTAAGAGGAACAACCCTCTGCAAATAGACAAGGAATTCAAGTGTTGATTATAAGTTAACCAATCGATTACAGCAGAATCCTCACAACCAAAACAGATTATTCAAACTTCTGATTAAAAAATCAAAGCTTTTTTCAAAAAATAACCTGAAACTCGTGATCGATTATGAAAAGGATAGAGAAAATAGAGCAATTTATATGACTAAAACATCAAAAAAGAATATAAAGAACAAAAGAATACGCAAAATTACCTTTGATTCGTTACCACCAGCCATGAGAGGTCGTTGAAGAATTGATTTACCGATAACTTTAAAGGGACAGTGTGACCTTGAAAAAGATGAATCTTTGAGTATTATACATAACGCCTTCACACCTCTGCTTACTGAAAGAGTATATAAGTTGATTGACCCTTCTTTTCAATTCACTTTTTGAAGAAAGTAAAGAAAGACAGATTAAAAAATATTCAGTGATATATATATATAGAGAGAGAGAGAGAGAGAGAGAGAGAGAGAGAGAGAGAGAGATGGGTGTGATTTGTGAGGAGAGAGGGAGAAGAGTGTGAAACCTGTGCAGAATATGTATATTTAGAGAGAGAAAGGGAGAGAGTTTTTGAGAGAGAATGAGAGAGTGGAGCCACGGAGAGGACGGAGACGAGAGAGACGACAAACGGGCCGGCAAAAATAAACTGTTCTGGTAGGCCCCATGATTTATAATATATTCACTCTAATTTCCGCTCATTATTCTACAATATTATACACGCCTACACATGTATACTCGTGTATGCATATACGTAGGCTCCACATTCATGCATTTAGGGCTCTTTTGACGAGAGGTACCAGAGACACACGACTATTCTACATGGTATGATTGTCCAATAAGAAGTCACCGTCTCATCGAACGGCCCAATCTCATCCAATGAGATGAGGCCATCTTGAAACTTGAGGACTCCTCATGGATTACCACACCTCGTAGGACGGTTTTGCTACCTAACAATATTTGTCCCTTTTAACATGGATTTTGAAAGGTCAAAAGGAGTTTTTTGGTCTTAAAATTGCTTTGGACCCGTTTGACTATAAATTTATTGAAGTGTTTCTAGTTATAAGAGTTTTTTAAATAAGTTGATCTAATGTAACTTATTTTAAAAGTACTTCTAAAATAAGAAGCACTTTTAAGAATTAGTTTTCCTTCAAAAGCACTTTAATAGAAAACAAGAAAAATATCATATCAAACGAACTCTTATTAGATCATCTATAAATTTTGATGTTTCAAATTCGATTTTAACATCGACTCAAAATATATGCACGAGTAAAACTATGAAAATAACATTTTTTTTTAATCAATAGAGACAATAGAATTGATATGTATAGGAACATCTTTAGTACTGAAAAGGATTGTACTGAAAAAGTTGTCAAATAAGTTGACAATGTTTGCAAAAACAATAATGTTATCTAGCACCATATATGTTAGGACACTGATTAGGTACTACTGAGTAATCCGATTGATGGAATAAACTTCAAATTGAATTTGATCTTGACATAATACTATAAGAAACTAATTTTTATGAATTTTAAAAAAGTGGAAGTGAAATTTTTGATAGTTTGTATCATAATCTAACTATATAGTTGAACTTAAGCCCCCCATTTTGGGCCCATTTCTTTCAAATGCTAACATTTGGAATAGTGTTTTTGAGGAGAAAATGTGATTTTAAAAATTTTTAAAAAAAAAAAGAAGAAAAATTTTCAATTTAAATGAAATATTATTTTATGAAAAATTCTAAGACCGTGCAATTGAAAATAAGATTGAGAAGAAAAAAATGAAAGATAAATGAGGCTAATTTAAGGCAAACTATTATAATTTTGTAATGCAATATAGCATTAATCAACATGCCACGATTTCGTCTTGAAAAGAATCTATAGCAAATAATAATTTTCATATTTATTTTTAATAAATTTGTGGAGAGTGTTGTTTAATTTTCTTGGAATTGGATGTATCTAATACGTCCTTTCAGCTCAATCTCGAACCCACTTCACAGTGAAGACAACTAAAGACGTTTACGCCCCTCGGGACATAGTTCATTGGTGTAAAGGACAGGAGTGATATTATCTCACACATTGCTGACAGTAACAGTATGAGGGTTCAATTTCTGAAATATGGAATTGGACTTCTTGTAGATGCGTGTACAAACAGCTTTTATTCCTTAACCTGTTAGAGCATATCTCACGATTTACCTCCCTCACAGAGTTCTACGGACGGTACGATAAGAGTCCTCAAAGTTGGAGTTCAACCTTTTTCTTTTTTCTTTTTTTAACTAAAGACATTTACTTTTTGGGAGAATTGCAGCAAGATGCCAAACCTCATATATTAGCAAATTTGATCTAAATCTTTCATTTGTGTCATCTTATGTACCAAATCTTTAAAAACTTTGCAGCCTAAGTCCAAAATGATGATTTTCTTCAATTTGACTATAAAAACCGTCAATTCACTCCAGAAATTTAAAAATCTAATAATTTTCCCCAAATAAGAACCACAACAAACGCTCCCATCTCCTTCTTCCCAACCCCCGTCATCCCAAAACCAAAACAACTTCCACCCAACCGTTAGGCGGAGGTACCACCACCTCAAAGTCGGCCCCAACATCTCCTGAAAACCGAACACTACCACCACCAAGAAAAAAACTCCCAATTCCAATCATTTTCAAAACCTTCAAGAAGTAGCTAAACGAGCCACTAGCAAATTTCAAAATCAGTGTTTTCAAAATAAGATTTCAAAACCATTAGCAGATTTCAAAACTTCAACAAGTAGCTAAACGAGCCATTAGCAAATTTCAAAACCTTCAGTCCATTTATGTAATAAAAATCAGATTTCAAAATCGGGGTTTTTGCTTTTAAACCCATGAAAAATCCAAAAATAAAAAATGAAAATGGAGAAGAAATTATTAATTTCAACATGATTGGGTCTATCTCTATTACCAACTGATAGAATTTAATTAACACAATCATATACAAATTATATTTCACAAATGTAAACAGGATGTTACCTTTTATAAACGAAAAAACGATCGCAACGCTGCTCCCTTTCACACTGATCTACTGTACAAAATGGAAAGAAGAAGCATTGCTAAAGGCGATTTTGTGAAGACACACTGAATTGAAGCTCCCATTGTGCACTCTCCCCAAAACCGACACCGAAAGCTTTCGTGGGCCAAGACTAAAGTAGGCTTTTGTGCCCGGGGAAGCTGTTGGTTTTAAGGTGGTGGTGCCGGTGCCGGTGCCTCGTTTTGAGGCGGCGTTTGGGCCGACGTTGAGGTCATGGTGCCGGCGGTGGCGGCCGACCGCTGCGAGGGGGTTGTTTTGGCTTTGGGTGAGGGGGTAAGGGACCAAGGACACGGGAGTGGGGTAGTGGTTTTTTTTTTTTTTAATCGGAGAAATGTTATCTCCAAATTGACCTTGTCATATTTTGGAAAAATTAATAGATTTTTAATTTCACTGACGTTTTTTTACTATTTTTGGGGTCAAACTGACAAAAATCGTCATGTTAGACTTGAGCTATGAATTTTTTAAAGATTTAATACCAATATGACGCAAATGAAATGTTTGAATCAAGTCTATCGATAGATTTTTAGGTTTGATTTCCTTGTTCAATATTTGTACCCATGCCTTGCCTTCTGTATTTTCTTCTTTTATAGAAATGTTTATAGAAAAAGACATGACATATCAGCCCTCTTTGATTTAGCTAAAAAACAATGTAAACATTTGAGTCAAATTTAATAATTAATTTTAATTATATATTTATCAGCTTTTATAAAAATTTACTAAAAATTTGATTTTTATTAAAATTAAACTTTGACATTATATTGTCTTTTGTGTATCGCTTAAAAGTGTCTCTATCCAATGTATTAGTTTTAGTCACTCTTAATTGCGTGTGATTTAGTCCATTATCATCCCTTTTTTTATATGGGAATATTGATTTAAGTCCTATTCGATGTGGATTTTTTGACAATAAATTTTGTGACAAGTTATACTTTTTCATAATGTATAATTAAAAGGTAGAAAAAAATTGTTAAAAAAATTGTGAGGTCATGTGTGCAAAATTTTTTATTAAAAAATGTGTAGTTGTAAATAAATTTGAAAAAAAAGATTTTAAATAATATGTACCACACACGGGCATAATGTGAACTGTTTTACATTTTTTGAGCAACCATTTTTCAAAAGATGTGATAATTTTTTAAGTCAAAATAATAATTTAAATGATAATTTTTAAATTTAACCATATTTGTCTACAAAAAATGTTAAAGGTTTAATGGCAATAAGTAAAATGAATTGGAAAAAAAAAAAAGACTGAACTATTCAATGCAGCTAGCTCAAAAGTTACAAGAAATAAATCTTTCAAATATAAGCAAATACTTTTTAAAGTTAAAAAAAAATTAGTATTTTAAGAAAATTTATTTATTCCTCGATTGAGCCCAATTCTTTGAAAAAAAAAAAAAAAAAAGAAGAAGCAGAAGAAGCATTTTTAAACAATATTTTGATATTATTTCAACCACACATTTTCAAATAAAATAATATTATACGTAAAATCAAAAGTTTTCCTTATTCAATACACTATTCAAAAATGGGGCTCAAACAAGTTACATTTATTTTCATTACGCAACAAAGTATAAATTTCACGTGTCAAAAGGAAATGCTATGCTACAATGAATATTCTTCCTTTTAATAATGATAAAAATAAATAAATAAATTCTGGTAGCAGCCAAAAGAGTTCTGTCCTTAGCCATTCCTGTGAGGTTCATAAAAATGTGAACTATTGAAAAAACGGGGGCAATGTTTTCTCCTGCGTGCGGCGGACGCCAGAGCACGTGACGACAAAAGCCAAGCTTAATGACGAAAACACCCTCAAAACATCCACAATATCCCAATCGAGCCTCTGAGGTCGACGCTTGTTTTGTCACGTAGCGTTAAACGCGTGACGGCATGATTTTTGTCAGAATTCGGGGAGGTGGGACCCATTTTGCTTTTTGAGTTGGGCTTTTCACTTTGTCGTTCTCTACGTATAGCTAACTCGCCCAAATTCGCAGAAACGTGTTTGTCATCGTGGGCCCACCCACTTTGGAGTATTCTGCGTGATTAGGGGGGCCCGTCTGAGGGCCCATAGGTGTTGTGAACTCACAGTGCAACACGTGGTTCTTCTTTTCTTGGGATAAGAGCTTGTGCAAAGTGATTATTTGAAAAGCGAAATATTTTTTTTTAAGAAAAAAAAATTACAGAAGTATGAAAGGTGATTTTGGGAGAATTTACAATTAAAAATGAATGTGATAAAAAGTGAGTTTCAAGTAATCACTTCCACAACTGCACTTCGATTTTTGTCGAGACATAATTTTTTAAGTTTCGTATGCTCATCTTAGAATAATTCCTTGCGTAATTATTCACAGACACCATATATGTGCTGTTAACTATCGTGATTTTTCTGCCCATAATCAGTCA